GGAAAAAAAATGCATTCATTTTGAAGAAGAACATGGTTTAGGTTGTGCTTCGGCTCTGCGACTGTGCGGATGAATATGGTTATTCTACTGCTCATTAAACAGCCAGTTTAGATGGAAAGCATTTCAAGCTGACGAGCAGAAGACATTACTGTAGCTTTACCCATAATCCATTAATAGTCCAGCCCTTTCTCATCCCAAGGCGTCATACTGACGCTTTTGCCAATGTGTAGACATCCAACGCGCATGATGGCCCTTTAGCGTCAATATGAGATGCAGATATATATGGGGCAGAAGGCGCCTCCTAGTGGTCTAACCCTAACCCTACCCCAGACCTAAACCTACCCATAACAGAAGCGTGTTGTATTGACGCTAAAGGGAGCCATGTTGTGCGTTGGATGTCTACGCATTGGCAAAAGCGTCAGTATATGACGCCTTGGGATGAGAATGCGTTGAATAGACATGATACTTCCTTAAAAATTTATTTCAGCACAGCGCTACAACAACCATAATGATTTGACTTCACAATAGATAAAGCTTTACAACCAACTATAAATAAAATACCTTTTACTCACATGTTGAGTAGGGCTGGGTATTGACCCAAATTTCACAATTTGATTCGATTTCGATTCACAAGCTTGCAATTCGATTCGATTTCGATTCGATGCAATATTGATTATTTTGGATATCAGGTACAATACATGGCAAAATCTCTTAACTACTGCTGTAAACAATGGGAGTCAGTTGTAGCCTACTAGGCTTCATTAGCCTATACTACAATATTGGTATTATATTGGCATTATTGGTTTTGGTATTATTGATTATACTGATTTGTATACAAACACTTAAATTACACTTATGTATTTTTATAATAATTAAATTATATTAAATATAAACATTTAAATGGTGTCCGTCATTAAAACTTGCCAGATTTATTCAAACATGCATTAAATATTGAAGTTCTTTCCATTGATCAATTCCTTAAAGGGACACTCCACTTTTTTTTGGAAATAGGCTCATTTTACCACTCCCCCAGAGTTAAACAGTTGGGTTTTACCGTTTTCTAATGTATTCAGACGATTTTTTTGATATTTAGAAGAATATCAGAAACCAGACAGTTTCTGGTCTCATTGACTTCCATAGTATATTTTTTCTTACTATGGAAGTCAATGAGACCAGAAACTTTCTGGTTTATGATATTCTTCTAAATAACAGAAAATCGGCTGAATGGATTTGAAAACGGTAAAACCCAACTGTTTATCGCTGGGGGAGTTGTAAAATGAGCCTATTTCCAAAAAAAAAAGTGGAGTATCCCTTTAACTTACACCCTACTTGTGGACAGTCTGCACAAATAACAATCAACAAGCTTGTTTGCTTTGCGGCCCCTTAAAATAAAGTTTTTTTTTTAAAAGACCAAGCATTCGATCTACGTCTACATCTCATATTGATTATTTTACAATGATTTATGTTTTAGAGCTAGAAGCATATGTTTTCTTATAATTAATTATTAACTATGACCGTGAGAAGTAAGAGTTGAAGCAACTTACAAGTGTACAACTTACACTGCTCCATCTTTTTCAGTTCAGTCTTATGCAGTGGACACAGTTTGCTAAGATGGTTTGAATGAATCCAATTAGTCATTAAAGATTATTAATACACACAGAATGACCATAAAATGGTTTTGTACTTGGACTTCAAGCATTAACTGGCCCACATCGAGGAGTGTTCAGTAGAGAGCGTCCTTCACCTTTGAGAAGGGGCAGATCTGGTAATTACGAAGGAGAGGTCTATGATGGGGAATGGGATTTTCTGCACTTTTATAAGATCTTATTCCTCTCTAAGGACTCTTCAGGGTTATTAAAGCCCTTTTTCCAGAGGAGATCAGGACATCGTTTGCTATTTTAGATTGGATCTCGCTTTCAGCTTGCTAGAGGATGTGGACAATTTGCGTCACATAAGAGCCAACACAGAATCAAAGTTGTTTATAATTTTTAATTCTGTAATGTGACATTTTCAATTGATAGAGGACATTTATAGCTTTATTTTATCTATTGGGAATTGATTTGAACGGTAAAAGTGGATTCATTACCGTAATGGTGCCATGAATGACACCTTTGTTAAAAACGTTACCATGTGGCATAATATCGATTACCACAAAAATACAATACAGTGAGGGACAATAGAACAATCTGTAAACGTTATATACTCACTGTATGAATAGATCCACACAATGTCAACAATATATGGTGTTAAAAAATAGTTTATAAACCTTTTCTTGGTGGTTTTATCCAATTTTACAACTTCATTGACATTACAACACAATGGCTTAAATGATTGTAAGACTGAGAAGACCCTAACTGTGTAACTAATACCCAAATTTATTTAAATAATTAATGCGTGTTATATAAAATACAACATTTCATACCATTTCTGCTTTTAAATAATCCATAAAGTGGAAACTCTTCACTTCCGATTTAAATGCCTCACTGTTTGTTCACATTGTATTCAATTTATTGTCGTTTTTGTTTAGTTTTGGGTAATCATTGGTGTATACCATAAATGTTGTGTAACTTACCTAGCACTATAGTTAGGGAAAATATTTCCAAACATTTTTTCTGAACTATATGCATCTATGAACATGCAGAATATGATTATTTGAGGTATCATTTCAAAAACACACAGGAGAAATATTTTTCTCGTTTCTGCTGCTCTCACATAATAATATCCTTGACATTTATCTTGCACCGTGACCTTCCAGCATCGGGACAGAAATTGGGTGTTCATTAAAAGTGTCATCTGAACCCACTACCAGTCATTAACAGCAAACAGGCAGCTTGTTACAATTACTTTTACTCCTCCGCAAATTAGACAGAAAAAGACAGATGCAGTAGATTTATTTACCATTGTGCAACACTGTGGACAACTCGAACTGGGACTATTGGGAGGCAATGCATGGGTTTTTTATAACCTGATCCAAATGACATTTTTGTATGTTTAATCTTAGCATTGATTAGATGGCTACAAATGATGTGGATGCAGAAGACTATTTGATACTGTAAAGAGCAAATCTCTCACAGCGTTACCCATGGGTAAGAATGAAACCGAATTTCCTCTATCTATCTTCTCTTATATTTTCCATGCTTTGGGGTAAGAAAAGAAATCTGGCAGCTAAGACAGGAAGAAGTATTTAGAGAAAGATTTATTAGTGTGATTAAGCCTGGAGGGTTGTGCCAGGCAGTTTAAAGGGGATTTGCCATTCCTGCCATTTAGCAACATTTTCTTTTGATTGAGACAAAAATGTGACAGCAATGAAGACTAAGATTGTTGCAACATGTAAAAATTTAGATCAAATCACACTGGATAAGCCTGAGCGTCAAGACAAGCATCAACCCAAAATGATTTTAATTAAAGTATTAAACATTGAATTAAACAGACATGAATAACCTCAAACCACGTGGCTTCATGAAGAGATGTTACAAAGCTACATGACTTAAAACGGGCCAAAACAATATCATAGACGTATGGGATTAGACTTTCAAGACAGGCTTCATGAAGCTTTGCAATCTTTTTTTTTCTTCTTCATCGAACCGGTGACCCAGAACAGAACACATGAAACTGATGCAAAATCATGTGGTTTCAGTAAACGAGGATTTGTTACATCATTGTTTCGAAGCTTTTAGTGGTTCACCGCCAGGGTGATCTCTGTGAACCCATGAACTAGTGTTTATATTTCATTTTTACCTGCTCTAAGATCAATTTGTAGACATTTAATGGCACATTTGTATAGTCTCTTATTGGCCTGATTAATCAAGCGCTCCATAAAACAAACAAAACATTATAAAAACACTTCATAGTGCTATTAGATGATTAGTTAATTGCATTAAATAGATCTTCCTTCAATAAAACATTTGTAATTGGTTATGTATGTTTGTAATACACCGTTGTGACCGGTGTGTGGCCTTTCATGCACTTTAAAACAGGGAATCATTTTGAGAAGCAATTGATTCAAAGTTTCATTTCTTTCATCAATGAGCAATATTTAAGCAACCACATTGAACACTTTAAAACTGCAAGCAACTAGCTTTTACTTTAAACCAACCATAAAACGCAGGCAACCAATTAGTATCACTATCACCTATTGAAACCACCCAGAACACCAAGGCCTGGATTCCCAGATTTCACAGGATTAGGCTTTAGGACATTTAAGTAGCTTTTATAAACATGCTTTAAACATTACTGGTGTGTATCTTGAGACAAAACAATGCCACTGGCATATTTAAGATATGTCAGTGCAGGTTTCTTTCAGTTAAAACAGCTCAAACGTGTATTTTAGTCAGGGACTAGATTTAAACCTTGTCTGTGAAACTGGAGTAGCCTATAACAACCACACCAACAACATCCCCGCAAGCAGCTTGAAAATCTTATTAATCATCCAAGACACCCTATAGCAACTGTACAGCCTATAAAGCAGCAATATATGTCATCCAAACCAACCAGCAAGAAATGCATAGAAAAAAACTCTAGCAACAACCTAAAATGCATTAAATCACTTAGCAATGTTCTAGTTACAACACAAACAGTACAAAACCCCTAAAGGGACATGATGGGGGGGAAATTGACATGGAAGGAAAATATATATTTCAATGATTCAGGTTTTCTCAAAACTGTTGTGATGTAAATAATATATCAAAAAATATTCACCAGCAGATTAATCATTTAAACATCCGAACAAACTAAACATTGTTGCTGCGTGTTCCAATATGCTAAACATCACATTTATCGGAATAGAGAACCATGGGTAATCACCCATGAGCTGTTGACAAGAAGTGAATGAGGTTTGTGGAAGAAAAAAAACTGAATGTCATGCTGTGAGACATTGCAAACCACAAAATACAAGCAATATGGGTCAACAGGAGGTGAAGTGTGAAAACTGTCACAATAATTATGTCACATATGAATAGAAAGGCTGATATCAGACTAGAGCTTGGTGTTAAACAGCTCACCTGTGGATGTTAATGTGATTTTATTTTCTCTCCGGGGAAATAAGTGAAGAGCAGAATCAAGTTTCTGTCATGTTTATGATAATCTCCATGTGAGGCAGACAGAAATGACTTGAGTGTATATCCATGAAATCTTGTAGAGTTTCTTGTTGTTAGACGTCTTTGTCAGGTTTTTTTTCCCTTTTTGCTAAAACTGTATCCCAAAACTGTGCATACTAATCAAACGTTGTCAATTCAAATTCGTTTACCCACGTGCAATTCATTTATTACAGCGCATGCGCAATGCGCCAGTCGCCACACAAAAATAAATGTCCTAAATCAAAAACTAACGAGAGAAAATTACCGAGCAAAATTGCTGTTTTCTTTTAGAAACGCTAAATATCAGATTTTGTTTGTATCTATAGGCAAAACATTAATTTTCCAACAAACAATGTCAAGAAATGCTTGTCGAGAGATCTTAAGACACAACAGGTGGCAGAGGCCAACAGTTTATCAGACTGTTGATTAAAATAAAACTGTTAAGCTGCCATTTTGTATGACCAATTTAACGATCACACACGTGTGTTATGTTAGAACTAAGTTACCCATATGGTATCAGTTCATTTTTCATAACAATCAAAATTATAAAAACTAATTGAGTTATTATCTTCATATTGTTTGAATTTAGTCCTATTCTTTATATAAGTCTACACTTAATTTCCTCTGACATGAAATAAAGAAATGAAAGACCAGTGGGGTGAAGCAAACTACAAAGAAATATCTTATTTTAATTATAGGCTATTGTAGATATCAAAAGCATGCCCTGGTGTAGAGAAAGGATTTGCTTGAAGCACCACTGCCATCTTGTGTAAAAGAAAAAAATAACCAATCATTCTGCAACATTGTCATGTAAAGATTAAGCAAGGTGCATATAGCTAATGTTGTAAAGCATTTCACACATTTTAAGTTATGGAGGTGTTAAAGCGTGTTAATTACCTTAAACAGGAGGTGAGAGAGATAAGCTGGTAGCACATAAAGCATTCCTGGTTAATGAACCTAAAGCGGCCATAGCATTTAAATATCATTTGGACTTTAATATGCTAAGACCATTCTTGCACGATCCATTTAGGTTTTAATCAAATAAGATGTTGCACAATAAAAATGAAACATTTGCTATAGAAAATCTAAATTGAGTTTTCATTTAATCTTTTTCATGAATTGCAAAGCTAGGTTTTTAACCTGATATTAGGAAAAATGCAACAGGTAATAACTATTATAGCCATGTCATGTGTCTTTGTATTATTCACAATAATGTGAATCTGGAAGATCTAGAGCAGAGTTTCTTAATCAGGAGCTCATAAACAAACTACTAAGAATTTGTGATGCAATAGAAATGCAAATTTGGTTAATAATGACTACTGTTAACAAAACTAGTTTACTAAATTAAAGGTCAGGATTGCAGTTAATTTCTAATGAAACAAAAGACTCTGAACTCGTCGATTGAGGATGGGGGCGTTTTTGGCCAACAGATGGTGCCATAACTTGAGAAGTGTTACACCCTTTTGTTTCCCAGTTATTTAGTTCGAATGAAATGGTCCTAATGTCCCTTGATAAACAGATGGATTATCTTTATGTTTTGAGTTTCTTAACACAGGCTCTGCTACTCATTAAAACAATAAACGTGCAAAGAAGTATTTTTCTTTAATAGACATAAAGACCAGCTTTATTTTGTCCCATTACTTAATGACCAAACAAAACTTCCATCCAGTGCCCCTGTAGTCCATAGATTTAGGTGTGTGATTTATTACTAAACAGACACTGTATATCAGTTCTTGAAATAGCAAATGTCAGACAAACTGAACGTTGCTCTCACTTCTTTGTTTTGTTTTTTTTCCATACAATGTGAACAGTAAGCATATAAATTACAAAACACAGGGTTTTTTTTTTTACTCTTGGCTGATATTTCCCACATAAAATTCACTAAATATAAAATATTTCATTAGCTTAATTTATTTTAACTATCTGTTGTTTCCCAATCCAATTGGAAATGTCTGATTCCTAATTTAACTCTCTATCCTAAACCAATGTAAGGCAATAATGTTACAAAATAATTTTTGATGAACCATAACCCATTAATACCAATACATCATATTGCATATTTTGCACAATTTTACCACCCTTTTATCACTGTTTTATGTACTCATAGTTCTCCATTACCTCCAGAATCCACCAAAAATCCAGATCTAGACCAACCTCAGATAACTTATTCTGTGAAGTATTAAAATATTCACCTTAAGGGAACTGCAAGCCATAGTTTTAGATACATTTTTCTAACATTGCATGTTAAGCAGTCAACAAACAATAGATGAACAAACAGTGATTAAACAAAAATAAGTATGTAGACAGATTGTCGTGGTTGCCACTGTTGCAGAATGTTTCATATTTTTAGTTTTGACCCTAAAAAGTATTTTTCCACGTTTAAAATGAAGACTTTTTAAATGTTAGTGGATCATGTCCATAGCTAATGTGATGAACTACACCTGTTGTCTATGTGAACTTGAGTGGAATGGCCTTCATACAGCCACTTTGACAGCATTAGATTAAAAATAACTGCAAAATGGTTGAGTGAAGTTAGTTCTAACGTCATTTTTGTTTGCAGATGCAAGTCGATTTGATATTTTAAAAACATGCATTTTAACCGTGGATAAAGCATTCAAATACTTAATGGGATCACATGCATGTAACTATTTAGTTTGTGACATATTTAAACAAATTAGCAGAACCCCCTGAGATCAGCGCTGTAACATGTTTCAAATTGTTAATATTGTCAATTAAACAATGCCCATGTTACACGAGTAAGAGGTCCAAAGTGTATCCATAAAACTTTTGTTTTATTTACAGAGAACAGTTACATAAAACTCTGAGGCATAGTTTTGTTAATATATGATCAGAACCGCATTCTGTTTTCATTAAATTTGGGAGAAAAGAAGGATGTAAACCAAGGCCATCTTTAGATTGTAAGCCTTAAAAGTTTGCAACTGTATACAAGTTATCCCACCAAGTGATGTTTTAAATGAGCTAGTTTTGAGGCAAATATTTCAAGATTAAAATGGCCATAGGGTCCTTTGTCAATGCCATGCTGAAATTGCAAGTGATTTTGTCCCAATGTAAAGTCTGAGGAAAAAGAAAATCTCCGTCTTAAAGAGAAGAAAAGCTCCCTCTGTTGTATCCGTTTGCCAGATCGTAGGAGACCGGCGGTGTGGAGCAGTCTGTGAAGAAGTTTGAAAAGGTAAGTGCACATGGCGAGCTCTGTTCCACAGGCACGCTGCCAGAGAAGTCCGTGTGAGTGTAAAGATTTGGCTGTACTGGTACCGTCCGCATGTCACCCGACTTTTTAGGCGTGTCGCTACAAGTGCCCCAAGGCTCGGTGTACAAAAACCCACCGGTTACAAAATGGTGGGAGTCATATGGCTCGGGCCCATGGTCGCCTCCTGTTGGATCCTGATGGGTGCGGCGTGGAATAGATCCTGCTCCGAGACCATGTTGCTGTAGTCGGGTCCAAGAAGCTCCAAGAACTCTGCCGCTTCCGGAGTCCCTCGCTCCAGGTCTTTGAGCGACATGCCAGACGTGGATGTAACTCTGGAGCTGTTGGCTGGCTCCGTGAAAAAGGACGGAGGAAGGTTTCGATGCCGCAGCGGGGGTTTCTTGGCCCTCTCTCCTCGTACATCCTTCGCTGGGTTAAAGAGGGCAGCCAGACTCTTGCTTTGCAGGTTGGCCTGTATCCCTTCCTTCTTGGGTGGTGTTTTGCTGGAGAAGTTGCTGGTTGGGTTTTGGGTTGGCGAGCCTTGCTTCTTGCATGGCTCCTGAGCCGGCGCGGCCCCTGGCGAGATGATACCCGTGCACCTCTTAATCTGCTTCTGCAGGTACTTTCGGTGGTTGACCTTCCTCTTGGACTTCACGGGTTTGTCCAGCGCAAGTTTGATGTTGCTGGAAGCCGAGTCGATGAAGCTGAGCAGGTCCCTAGTGGTCTCCCTAAAGTCACCGTCGCAGTCCACCTCGCCCAGGAGACCCCCTTCCAGACCCTTTTCCACCTCGTAATCCATGACCGAGCCAGGAAAACAGAAGTTTAAGAACTGAGAGTTCATGATGGCAGCCTGAACAGCCATCTCCTCTCTTTCTCTTTCTCTCCTTCACCTTCACGCAGGATGTATGCAGTTGTCTTCAAGAGACCCTGTCTGCATTTCCAGGGTGGTTTGCTAACCCTTGGTCCCGTGCAGGACACCCTTACAGTTCGTCTGCACTCTGTCGAAAGCAGGAATTTGGGGGAAGGGAGGATTATTTTAGGGGGCAGGGCCAATGATGTCAGGACATCAAAGAGGAGGGGCCGAGGGACCCTGGGACTTAACTCTTTGCTCACGCCTGACCACCTGCAACTAAGAGGGATTTGTTTGAGGCATCCCACAGAGTAAAAACACAATAGCGTCGGGTTCATCCGTCCTGGTCAAGTCTTCTTGAATGTGTCTACGAGAATATACTCATTTTATGTTATGAAATCTCTGAGAGCAACTACGTTGGACTGCACACTATACATTTTAAAAAAAATGCTGGGTTGTTTTAACCCAATTTTGGGTCAAATATGGACAAACCCAGGCATTGGGTTCCATTTTTAAATTACATTTTGAACCCAATGTTTGAGTTTGTCCATATTTGACCCAAAATTGGGTTAAAACAACCCAGCATTGGAGTGTAGAATTCTGAATTACTTTAATCTTATTAAAGACTGGGTTTTATTTCTTCAATTTGATTTAATCTTTTGAAATTAAACACCTGACTTAAAATTGATCAAATAGCAAATGTTTCCACACACAACAACGTAGTTTGTTCAAGTTAGCTTAAACAGATTCTTGGTTTCAGAAATTTAAATGATTCTTAAAATAATTGATCTGACAAACTCACACTTTTTTTTAATTGTGGCATAAAGAATTCAAAAGTTTCATGCGGTCTGATCTACATTTTTGATTCTTTTCCTCATGTCTCACAAAATGCATATGTTGTATAAACTTGACCAAACCTTCCAGACTGGGTCCTGCGCATAAAGGTGAACGCTTAATTGGAGATGCATGTACTGTTTGTTTCTCTACATGTTCTTCTAACTTCCTACAACTATCTTAATCTGTTAGTGGTGGAAGTTGATTTCTCGTGCATTCCCGCACCAGTGGGAATTTTAGCCTCTGCCTGACAACTATTATAGGCTGCCTTTGACATACAGCCCTACATGGTCTAAATAGCTTCTATTCTTCCTCGGGCAGTGAAAGGGATCTTTGTGCCAGAGATTCATTAAACTGCACCTCACAGCCCCTTCGTAAAATGAGGCTCAATAATGAACAGTCGATTTAACTAGAAAAGCTGCCGGAGCTGTTAAATTAAAGGGGAATAAAGTGCAGTTCAAGCCCAGTGTGCCAGAAGAAATGTTGACCTTAAGAAATCCTGGGTATGAGTGAAATAGCCGCTGTAAACAATTCAGCATTTGCAGGAAGTTTCTTGGCCAGCAGTGAATACTGAAGAGGGATCCAACACTGGGACTTTCGTTGGGGTCCGAACGGATCCTGATCTCAGTGAAAGCACTCGAAGGACGTCGCTCTGGTTTGGAACATGTTGGGTTTAGAAAGAAAACACTTGAGGATGTTGGGAGTGTTTGAATGAGGAGAGTATTGCCATCAACGATAATGTTTGATTTATTTACCTCAATCAAATAGCTCAGAAACAAGGACCAAATTTTTGGACCAAAGCTTTGAAATTTCAGGACACGATGACTGTTCAAAGAATATTCGTGTAGTTTTGTCCCATCTTTCTTTTGAGAGCCTGTAGCCTTGTGTAAAGTCAATTCAGATGCACTTAATCTGATCCAATTCCAATTCAGTCCACTAAACTTTACTTTCCCAGGCATTAAACACATTTATAGCAGCCCTGACAAAGTTTCTTTTTTATCACATCTATTTCACTTAGCATGTTGTGAAATCACGTGCCAATGGACTGTTTCTTCCATACCCCTTTTCTCTCTCACTTTGAGAGTTTTTCCCAGGGATTTTTTTTTTTTTTTTTTTTTGAAATTCCCACCCCATAAGTGCATTTTAAGGTGAGGCAGTGAATCATTTGGATGTTGGGAAGGGGAGAAAAAGGAGAAAGTCTAAGCGCTTTTGAGAGAGGGGAACCATCGAGAGTGTTATTATCATGTAAATTGTGATGTAGAAAGGAGACAGTGAAACTGATAGCAGTGATCTAATTATCTGTAGCCCTGCTCTAGACCCGGTCCTGAATGGGGGTCCCAGAGAAGCTGCCATGGCCTCACAATAAAACAGTGTACCATAATAGAAAAATAGCAACAGTGTAAAAACAAGCTTTTTTTTTACAGGATTCGCCTCTACGTTTCCAAATCTCACAGAATAGAAGTGACCACTATGATATTTTTAATCAAAAATGAAAATCCTGTCAGTAATTACTCACCCTCATATCGTTCCAAACCAGCAAGACTTTCGTTCATTGATATTTTTGATGAAATCTGAGAGCTTTCTGACCTCATCATAGACGGCAATGTAATTACCACTTTCAAGGCCCTGAAATGTAGTGAAGACATCGATAAAATAGTCCAAGTGACTACAGTGGTTCAACCTTAATGTTGAACAAACAACTTTATTCAACAATTTGAATTCAACAATTCACTTTCTTCTTTTCTTGAAGAAAATGTTTAAACATTCCATGTGACAACAGTGGCTCAAATATAAGTTTATCAAGCGAGGAGAAAATTTTTGTGTGGAAAAAACAAAAAAACAAAAATAACGAATCGACTATAATAATATTGACTATTCCTTTTCTTCCTAGTAGGCCTGAGACGAGAGTTCAAGAGATTTCCACGACGTATGCGCGCGAATTGCGTTATTTTTCTACTACTTCATGCGCAATTCTCGTGCATGCTTTTGGAAATCTCTTTAACTCTCGACTCAGGCCCAGAAGGAAGAAAAGGAACAGTCGAATAAAGTCGTTATTTTTGTTTTAAATATTCTCGTCGCTTGATAAACTTATCATTGAGCCACTGAGCCATTTTCTTCAATGACTTTCTGGGCCGTTTCAAGTTTCAATGCCTATGTAGCACTGATCCAGCTCTCAAATTTAATCAAAAACATCTTCATTTGTGTTCCGAAGACGAACGAAGGTCTTACGGGGTTGGTACAGCATGGGGGTGAGTAATTAATGACTTAATTTTCATTTTTAGGTGAACTAACCCTTTAACAAAAAAGTTTAAGTTTAAGATTTAAAGAAAATGTTTTATTAAGCTGTATTTTTATTATATGAACAACCTACCCTATCTCACGACCAATTCGTACGAATTCGTACGAATGATTCAAAAGTGGCTAATTCGTACTAATTCATACGACCTCACTCGTACAAATTTGTACGATTTGTCTAAACACACGTGACGGTTATGTTCAGGGGCGGGGTCAGGGGTAGGTCATTCGTACGAATTCATACGAATTGGCTAATTCGTAAAATATGTACGAATTAGCTAAATCGTACTAATTCGTACGAGTGAGGTCGTACAAATTGTTACGAATTAGCCACCTCGTAAAATTCGTACAAATTCCCGTGAGATCGGGTTGGAACAACATATAAGGATTAATCAATTAAATTAATCGAAATGCGTAAATGTTTTCTTTTTCATTTTTCTTTTTGAGTGCATCATGTCCCTTTTGTATATATATATATATATATACGTGCTTGTCCCTTTAATTTTAGTTTTTCAACAAGCCCCCCTCTTTCTTCTGGAGCCTAATTTTGGCACTGTGACATCACCAGCCTAATGGCTGATATTTTCTTCTCTTCCCGCACAGAGCTTTTGTACGTGCTAGTCATTCACGTTTAAGGGCTTGACGCACTAATTCCGGAAACAAGTTTCTATGGCCACATAAAGGCCAAAGGGATCAAAGAGGGTGAGGAGTGGAATACTGACAGCAAAAGGAGGAGTACAAGGAGATTCCTAAACTTGCAAAAACTGGAAAGTCTATTTTATACAGTCAGTCCAACACATGAATTCGAAAATAGTTCAATGGCATGATCTGGTTTGGCTGAGAAACAATGAACGAATTTGACATTTCTTTAGTGAACTACCTAAATGAAAGTTTTTTTTTTTTTTTGAAATGGTGATAAAGATTGAGACACATCTAACTTCTAACACATCTAACATCTAAGTTTTTCTTTTCATTACCTTGGACATTCATGCCATTGACCCAAATGCATATTTGTCTATGGCATCAGATGATGTGGTCTTTGCATGACAATAAATTTAAAAAAAATTCAGGGGAAAACACTAGTGAAAAACAAATAGCAAGAGAAATCAACAAGGTCAAACTAAGTTGAACAAACTCAGCAGGGGGAAGAACAAATGAGACGGCCGAGGGAACAACATTCATCTTTCCGCTTTCGATTCACGTCCGTGGAAAGCTGCTTAAGCAAACGGACCATTGAAAGTGAGTATTGTTTGGTTATCGTTACACACCGCGCACCCCGCCCTCCACCCAGGGAATTTACAAACTCAGCACCCACTCTTTTTTTTTTAAACCCCATTTTCCCTGGACCCCCCCAGGCACCCTTTCCATGCTCTCCATTACGACACTGGGTTACACACTCACATATTTTCCCATTGGTGTGTGTGTGTGTGTGTGGTCTCAGAGTAACCACAACACATCCAGAACTAAAGACTCTCGGTCAGCAAAATACTAGCAACATATTTGATTGATGAAACTGTCAGGTGAGAAGAAAGGATGTTTAATGGCAACAACAGGGTCCTTAGAAAAGCGCAATAGTGTTTAAACCCCCCACTTACTCTTGATGTTTGTCTACATGTGTATGTTGTCAGTAACCATAAGTTATTCAGAACGGATTTTGTTCACTCTACATTTTTTGTAACATGTTGTTTACGCTTGAACGTCCAAGTGAACATCCAATACATTTGGTAACCATAAAAATGTACTAACTGTCGTCTATAGACCATTTCACAAGATCTAAACAACACTGGTCCAGAAGCACTTCCTGTTTCAGTTTTTTAACACTACATAAAAGCTGGGATAAAATACAACCAACAGAACATTTAAAACTGAATCAAAAAGTTAAACAAACATCTTTAAGATGTTTTCTTTACATGTGAAATAAAGAAAATAGTTACAAACTGAAACAGGAAGTGCTTCTGGACCCGTGTTGTTTACATCTTGTGAAATGGTCTATATAAACATTTACTGTTATTCCAGAAGCATACACTAGATCTAAAGTGGGAGTTAAAATATCCCACTTCCGACAAAATGTCCAGTTGTCTTGGAATACTTCTCACTTTACAAATAGGATTTTTAACCCTAAATAGACCTCGGGCATCATTTACTTTATAAAATGGTATGTAGAAACTGCCCAACATTTGATTTAAAGGAGTAGTTCAAACTTATGCTGATAATTTACTCACCCCCATGTTATCCAAGATGTCCATGTCTTTCTTTCTTCAGTCGAAAAGAAATGAAGATTTTTGACGAAAATATTCCGGGATTCCTATTTGAGGCGTCCAAAGACTCCATTTGTCCACTATTTATTTCTAAAGAAACATGACAATGTATAAAAGGCTCCATTACCTTGTACCTTACGTAATGGCCATGTAGAAGCAGTTTTTTGTTGGCTAACGATTTCGCCATAACGAATCGACTCTTCGTCGCGAATTACCGTAAATTACCGTATACACAGGAGGAGAAGCTTGTAGGCAATCTGGGGTCATAAAGTCTGATAAAGTCAAGGGAGAAGCCCATAGAGATTCATAAAGTTGATCCTGCTGCTAGCTCATGGACAGCTAATACTCACTCCGTCTCGGTGAGATTCAGAAGGGAATTATTCAGATTTTACTCGGACCAGCTACTAGAAGACATTCAGGTTGCTCACGTGACATTTTGATTGGCTCAGTTTGATCTTGCGCAGTACGCCTGGCTATCAGCTTTTACAGGGCTTCAATTTTCTCTGTTGAAATCAATGGGGTCCACTTCTTTTTCTGTCTATGGTAACGGAGCCTTGTTAACTGAAATCATGTGACTTTGGCAGTTCAATATGTGGTTCGCCAATGTTTTGACAGCACCCATATCGGAACTTACTTTTTAAGTTACTTTCAGACTACGTTGCAAATAACTCCCCCAAAAATAATTAAAATAAAATGAATGCAAAACATTGACCAGTTCATATTTCAGGGAGCAACAAAGTGAAAAATCATCATCATCACCGCATACTCATCTATTCCTCTTCATGACCTTCCCCAGCCCCACAAAACAACCAGCTCTGCACTCTGGCTGCGATATTAATAATAATATTAGCAGGAGGCAGCTCAGCACAGAGCAGATGATGTCTACGCACCACAATTTGGAGAAGCAGGAGCTGCCAGCGAGTGAATACAGGTCTGGTGGAGTCCTGCAGGTCCCGGCATGGGGCGCAATCTCTGTGTTTTACACCACATGCCTCCCGCTAGCTACTTTATTGCTCGTTTTCTGTCTTTAGGCTTTCATTAAATCACACTGGAGCAGCATTTGTGGAGGAACAGGAAATGGGACGGGTACGCTTACTTCCGTTCATATGCATTTATTCTGAGGATCATGTTCATGCATCATTTCCTATTAAAAAAAAACCAAACAAACAAAAAACAGTGCCAAATTGAGATAGTAACACTAGTACAACTAACAGTGTAAACAGTTTGACTTGTGGTGATTGTGTATAGACAATGAAAATAACACTGATCACTGGTATTAGGTCCAGCTAATTACAGTGACTATTTGATTTCTGAATAGTAAAAATTAGCACTATAATGTAATGTGGCAATTAATAAAAGGAATAGTTCACCCATAAAATAGAAAATTCTGTTATGATGGTTTACTCACAATCTCGTTGCAAACCAATGGGATGGGTTTTGTTTCTGTGGCTCACCAAATGATTTTAATGAATGTTCATGCTGCTATCTTTCATACAACAGAAAGCTCCAAAAAGAACAATAAAACCAGCATAAATGTTGCTTACATGACTATATTTAAAAAGTAAAGAACAGTATATCCTTTTTACTTAAATTTCAAGTTTGGTTTTTGCATATCTCATAAACATTCACAGCACGTCACATTTGAAAAATAATGTGTTTTTTTGTGTTGTTTGTCCCTAGAGAAATTTTCATTTTCAGTCAGATTGAAGAAAGTAAGTAAGAAAAGTTGGAAAAATAAATGAGAGAATTTTCATTTCTGAACTATTCCTTTGAAAAGTAGAATAGCCAAGCTGACAGCAAATATGAATGATTATTATTTCTACAATTTAACTTTGAGGCTTTGGCAAAAGACACCCTGAGTGGTTTTGTATTTGGTATTTTCTTAAACATTACGTTCCTCAAATTTGTCCAAGAGAATCTAAACAGCATAGCCAGCAACAAATGTAAAATTGTATTGTAAAAATGCTTGGCTTGCACACACTTAAAAAACGAAGAACTTCCCATCCACTCCCATATAAAACAATTTTAAAGGGATACTCCACTTTTTTTGGAAATAGGCTCATTTTACAACTCCCCCAGAGTTAAACAGTTGAGTTTTACCGTTTTCGAATGTATTCAGAAAATTTTCTGATATTTAGAAGAATAGACAGTTTCTGGTCTCATTGACTTCCATAGTATATTTTTTTCCTACTATGGAAGTCAATGAGACCAGAAACTGTCTGGTTACTGATATTCTTCGAATTATCAGAAAATCGGCTGAATGGATTTGAAAACAGTAAAACTCAACCGTTTAACTCTGGGGGAGTTGTAAAATGAGCCTATTTCCATCCAAAAAAAGTGGAGTATCCCTTTAAGTACCAAGGAGGAGACCACTAACTTTGGCACACGGCAAACAAAAATGGTTCATTTCGTCGTTCTTAAAGTCCCCTTTTCATTTTCAATCAAAAGCTGCCTGTTTGATCCACTGCTTGAAGTACTGTACTTCCATCTCCCGTGTTTTAATAACAGACTCTGGGTCAAGTTCATTGTTGTAGCGCAGATCGAGATGGTGAGCACCTCCATCAATCATAATGGCGACTAGAGATTTGGAAAGACTCTTAGTCACTCCACCGCTCATCCATGGATCGAGATTTCCATTACTGAAAAAGAATACACTTAGTACGTTACACCTTTAGGTCTCATAGGAACACCAAATATAGAGTATGTACCCAAACAAGAACATAAATAGAATATAAAACAAAAGCTCTATTTCAAAACCTACTTAGGCAGCCTTTTAGGGTGGCATATACCGTTGTAATCGAAATGATTTAACACCCATTGCAAATCAGGTTTATTGGCAAAACTTACAGACTTTCAGCTGTTTGCAATGAACAAATCAAACAAAAGTAATGTTTCACAACAATTTTTTCCCCAAATTCAACTGAAAATGCAACTTTTAATGATTTCTGCAGCTTCAAAGTTATTCAACCCCCTGAATAGACTTCCTCACAACAGCACAAATCTGCTAGTACACCTGATGGGACTAATCAAGGGCTTCATTAGTTGCACCAGGTTTGCTTGAGCTAGAACACATGAAATTTCTGAACTGGCTAGGTTTGCTGAGGCCATGTCAACACTATTACATTTTCGCTTGAAAACGTATATTTTTCTCTCCGTTTTGGCCTTCCGTTCACACTGAGACGGCGTTTTAAGTCAATGAAAACGTAGCTTTTGGAAAACGCTCTCCAAAGCGGATACATTTGAAAAAGCCGTTTTCGCGTCGTAGTGTGGACTGTGAAGCCGGAGGTATTTGAAAACGATGACGTAAGTTTAGTCACGTGACTAAACGTGATCACTTTATTATTTATTTTTCCATCTGTATCATCTCGGTGAGATTTTATGAGGTTTCACGCATGCGCAGTAAGGTGAATTTAGAAGATTTAGAAGAATCTCAAACACACTGAAACGTCGGAAAACGCTAGTGTGGACGGAGAGCATTTTTAAACGAAAACGCTGTTTTCAAATGTATTCGGATTAATGTGGACGTAGCCTGAGTGCCACGTTAGAAAAGTCTAAAGAATGGTTCGAAAAGTTAAGAGAAGATATCATCGCCCTTCTGAGAGAAAATGTCACCTTTCAATTCTGCTGTGAGTTCATATCTTACAATTCTGAGAAATACATTTCATAGAAACTTGGGTTTATTTAACGCAATTGCGAGTTTATATCCGGCACTTCTTACATTTTTCTTCTCCGAATTGTGATATAAAAATCACAATTGCAGGTTATAACGTCCAAATTGTGAGACATAAACAAATCTGAGAGAAAAAAAGTCCGATTTGTGAGATAAAGTTAAATATTTAGTTTGTTGTTGTTCTATACATTGCAACAAGATCAGCGAAAAATTAATTTAAGACGATGTGGATGTCCAAAAGACTGATCCAAAAGTGAAAAGTATCAATAAAAAAAGTTCAGTTTAATAAAATTGACTATTTTTATAAGTCTAAGTTGTATATTTTTACGCTGAGTATTGCACAATTAGCTTAGCAACATGCTAACATGAAACTATTTAATCGAACATTCAGCTGAAAGTGAAGGCAATGCTCAATATTATACAAACACAAGATGTCCTACCTGAAGATGATGTTGCTGTGAGCACTGATGTTTCTCCCGCCATACACAATTTCTGCCCAATCTTCGCGTGGTCGCACTCCAAACTGGTTGTAGCACTCGTCTGAGAAGGCCTGGAAGTTCCATGGCTGTGGCTCAAACATGTCACCGATGCCATCTGTACACATTGGCATCACCATCTCTGTACAGCTCTGCACAAAATGAGTGTTGGGGAACGTTACTTTTAAAAGTAATGTATTACCATATAGTTTTTCTCTCTAAAAAAGTAACTAACTGTGTTAGTTACATTTTTTAATGTAGTTAGTAAGTTAACGTGTTACTTTACTTTTACGTTACTTCTTATCTGGGCTGGGCTGTTAATTTTATTTTTTTTTAATAACAAAAAAAATCTACTTTTGGCAAATGTAAAGGCCCTTTCACACCAAAAGTGAAATTAACATGTGTTAATGCAAATTCACGCGTGTACAGTAGAGGGCGCAGCTCAAATAAACCTGCCATTCTGGATCGCAGAAGAAGAAAGTAAACACTCTTACTTCAGCAATAAAACAAATAAATAATGAAACACAAATACAATGTTTATAATTTTTAAGTCATTTTTGCTTATTCGTATAAAGAATGGTCCAAAAAGTTAAGAGTAGATGTCATCGCCCTTCTGAGAGAAAATGTAAGCTTTTAATTCTGAGAAATACAGTTCATACCTCAAACTTCTAAGAAAAAAATTAGGCCTGCGCAAAAATTAATTGCGATTAATCTAAAGTTTACATAATATATTTGTGTGTGCTGTACACTATATAATTATTTTGTATATATAAATACACACACATGCATGTATATATTTAAGAAAATGTGTTATTCATATATAAAATATTATATTTATATAATATAGATTATGTATTATATATATATATATATACAGAATTTAAGCGCAAATAATTCTTAAATATATACATTCATGCATAGGTATTTATATATACAAAATAATTATATACAGCACACACAAATATATTATGTAAACACAGACTTTTATTTTGGATGGGATTAATCGCAATTAATTTTTGCACAGCCCTAAAAAAATATGTATATAAACTCGCAAATTTGGGTTTATTTCACGCAATTGCGAGTTTATATCCTGCAGTTATTACTTATTTCTTTTCCGAATTGTGATATAAAATCGCAATTGCGGGTTATAATGTCTGAATTGTGAGACATAATCATACAAATCTGAGAGGAAAAAAAGTCAGATTTGGGAGAAAAAGTTCAATAGTTTTTGTTGCGTTTGTTCAATACATTTGAAAAATGTATTTAAGACGATGGGTGGATGTCCAAAAGACTGATCCAAAACTGAAAAGTATCAATAAAAAAAGTTCAGTTCAATAAAATGTACTATTTTTATTAGTCTAAGTTTGTATACTTTAATTACTGATGCAATCAATTAACCGGCATCAAAATTCATCAACATTGTGAAACAAATCAAAATAAAACAGAATGGAATTGCTTGTATTAGTAAATGTGACCATCTTAAACATCTTAATATTTTACCTGGTAGAACCATCCCAGGATTCCCAGATCCCCAGTAGCAGTTTGTGAGGTGTTGAGACAGACTGCGTCTCCAGTGTAATTGTAGTAAACTCTTACAGCTTGAGAGATGCCATTCAACAGCTGCTTGTCTGATACGCCGGTGTCAAACTGAAGATTCCTGCAGACCACCTGAGAATCAGAAAAACACGTGTAAATCATCACAGAACAAACAGCTGGCTCTATGTTCAACGGTTCTGCTTCATTGCGCTACAAAGGCACAAATTACAATTTCGATCTGCAAACAAGAAAAGCTTTATCCGTACAAAGATGTTTCATATGTTCCAGTTCTTTTAAAACAATCTTGCTGTGAAATTCCCAAATGCAGCGTTTTCTGTGGGATCATCTGATTTGCATGAGAAATGGAATTCCAAGCTGGAATTATTATTAATATTATTATTATTTACAGTAAATAATAAATGATAGCAATTACAGTGAATCATACATTCACTACTTTACAATAGTACACATTCTGGATGGGGATGTACAGTATATGAATATGATTATATATTATATATATGTAGATACTGTATGTGTGTATATGTGTATATATATATTAGGGCTGTGCAAAGATTAATTGCAATTAATCACATCCAAAATAAAAGTTTGTGTTTTATTTTTTTTATTATTATTTTTTTACGAGCAGTTTTAACTGATGCTCTACAGAAATCTGTCACAACACATTAAAGAGCCACGAAACGGCATTTATTGTTTATATTTCTTTAAAAAATGACCAAATTTGAAAGGTGAGACTTTGTTTAATATGTTTAATATCAAAAGCAACCTGGTCTGTCCTGTCTGTCAGCGTGTTGTCAGTCCGTAATGTATTTTTCACCGCGTGAGAACATGGTGTGTGTGTGTGTGTGTGTGTATGAGAGCGGCGTAGCTTGTCGGACATAGCGACAGTAACTACCCAGATAGCAAACTGACATTGAATCAACGTGGAAACGACGTCTCTCATGACATTGAAACAACGTTGATTTTGCTCATCGAATTAACGTTGAACCAACGTCAGACGCGGCATTCTTCAAAGCTAAATGAAAATCGAAAATTGGTTTGCTTTCATAACGTTGAAACAACGCGTTGATTTCAAGTTGATTTTCCGTTAGTTTTGAAAGAATGACGCGTCTGACGTTGGTTCAACGTTAATTCGATGAGCAAAACAATGTCAGATCAACGTTGTTTCGATGTCATATTTCCACGTTGATTCAATGTCAGTTTGCTATCTGGGTAAGGTAAGGGTCTTTGCGAATGGTCAATTCTCGACAAATAGAGAAGCAGACGGTTTTTTTTTTGAGCAGACGTAAGACAACTATACAAGATAACATATTACCATAAAAATCGGCATTAAATTATCGACATAAAATGTTTTTATTTTTTATCCGTTTGAATGAACGATTCCATGACTCATTTATACATACTTATTTAATTACTGGGTGAATCAGCATTTTTGAACAAATCTCTTGAATGAATGATTCAATCGCATACATTTTTTAAGTCACGTGTCGCCACCTACTGGCGTAATAATGTAATTGCTACAATCGCTATTTGAAGCACCGCGTTACTTTCAGATGGATTTGATCTACTTTGATTGCTTCCGTAGACATCAGTGTTGATATCCAAGCTATAATATTTTATCCCAGTGCTTCGGCGATAAATTGAATATTTGTAAAAACAGAAATATTGATACTATAGACCATTTTGCAAGATGTAAACAAAACTGGTCCAGAAGCACTTCCTGTTTCAGTTTTTTAACACTACATAAAAGCTGGGATAAAATACAACCAACAGAACATTTAAAACTGAATCAAAAAGTTAAACAAACATCTTTAAGATTTTTTCTTTACATGTGAAATAAAGAAAACAGTTACAAACTGAAACAGGAAGTGTTTCTGGACCAGTGTTGTTTACATCTTGCAAAATGGTCGATATAGTTGAAAAGAAGCTGTTTCGTACCTATAAACGATAAGTGCTCTTTCTGGCTCAATGGTAGCGCCATTGCAACATTTGAAACTCCCAATCCCACAGACTCTAATTGATATGACTGGATTTCAATTGTGAAACCGCAAATGTGAACGCAACTTTACTCACAGTTCTCTCTACATATTAAACTGTGAGATAGTCGCGGCACATGTCACACGCATCACATTTAACGTGCTGATATCTGTCATGTCTGACTTAGAGTGGGTTTGAGAAGGTTGTTGCTAACCTTTTCTTCAGAGGTGGTGGTCTGTGCGCGAGATAAGCTACACGCATGTCCGAGCAAAGATTTATACTATGACAAAAACAGCAGAGGCTGTCCAAAGCACCTTCTCTCTGCTTTTCAGATGGGATTAGGCTTACACATTCATCTCCAGCAACAGATTTCCCACTCCTAAGCCTTCAATACCCCCTTCTCTCAGTCACTCACATAATCACATTAGCTTTGTCATTAAAAAAAGCCTCCTCTTTGCACCCGCTGCCTAAACTGCTTTAACCACCCATAGGGGTTGCATGCATTATCAGATTTAAAGGAAGAAAAAGAAAAATACTCAAAAGTAAACCAAGTCTACCCACTTTGCATATTCATATGTGCTAAAAAATAAGCTACAGTCACCAAAAAAACACAGAAGATAACGTATCTAAAAAATTTTAATCAAAAATAAAAGCTTTTGTGATTTAAATTCCCACTCGGTTCCCAAACCTACTGAACTCGACTGTCTACCGCGTCTGGTAGCCAGACACTATGTCTATCCCAGACATGACGAGTATAGACAGGACAGCTTTGTTCACTCTCTGTGACTCAAGTTCAGCGTATTATTTGAGCATGATATCCATAAAAGCGCACGAGAGACGATTGACTTCTATAGAAGTTGGACATCAGCTTGTTGCGATATGCAATATCCCAATTAGCATAAAAACAAAACAAATAATAGGTTATAAATAGGTCAGTTTTAAATGGTTGAAACAGGGAACTATTTGATACAATACTGTTCAGTACTAAATCAAATCCAAGTATATTTTGAGACCTTTTTCTCTCATCTTGTCCTGCCCTGATTGTTTAATTCATTCTGGTCAACACAATTCACCTCTACTTGCCTTTCCTCAGTTGTCAATGAATATTAATAACCAGTCGGCAAATAGACATTAGCGAGCTACTGTAGCTTTAATCCGGCGTAATTTTTCTCGTTGAAGAATGCATACTTCGATTTACTTGTAAAAATGGCTGTTCACTAGCTTTAGGAGCAGAGTGTAAATTATACACGCTAGAGCTCCGCATATTCATTGCTGTTTGCTTTGTGAGACAGATTTAATGAATGAAAACACAGATGCCTCGGGAGTCTTGACAATAAACATGTTTTCTGTCCACGCCACCCTCTAACCAAAACCAAACAAAAACCGGAACAAAAGCTCAATTCTGAGGGTGAAAGAAAGCAGAAGCATTATGAATATGAATGAAGCTATTTGCATAATGATGTGGATGGGTACAACAACTGACTTATTATGAGAGGTGAGTCAGCATTAATGAGGAATTCATAGAGTGAGAGTGATTCATACCGAATAGCTGGGAAATCCAGCTGCTGAAGCATTACTTTATTGTTCATGACTTTTGTGTGTGTGATACTTTATTTTAGACCATGTAAGTCACATTTTACTGAATCGTGAATCAAAAAATCATGCCATTTATGTAAAAATTATATATTAATTCCAGTCTGGGAGGGGCCTAGCAAAGGGTCAGATCTAGTGTTATAAAAATACTTAAAGGAACCATAAGAAATGTATTTAAATTATTCATAAAATGGCCCTGATTTGTCACCAGACATTAAGAAATCATGTTCATTTCAAATACTTATATCATTGACAACAGTAGTCCGGCCAGGATATAGACCCCTTTTGCGCCGACGTCACAGTTACGTCACGGCGCTAGCTGGAGGCAAAACAAAGTGTAAACTGGAGGCGGCCAATACAAACCAGCACAGATTCGGCAACATAACGAGGAGCTTAAATAATTGTTAATATTATTAAATGTCATTTTGTTGTGTTGTTTGGTGCAAGAATTGATGAAAAATGAATATGCTGTATCTGGAACTTTTATTTCTAGAAAATATTCACATCATTAAAATCGCACTGTAATGTCACTCTTTACATTGTCGTGGTCTCGGCGCTGGCTCGGCAGAACTGCGGATCGTCCACACAAGTCTTGTTCAGGACCATATAGGCATCTAAAGATTTATATGCCCTCAGTTTCTCTTTACGATCGGTTTCTCTGTAAGTGTAGAAGTCAGGCCACTCACCCGAGATAACGTACGTTAATCCTGTCAGATCATCCATGCATTGAGTGAGCGTGTAGGCGGCTACGGGTCGGCCAATCTAGTTCCGTCTGTTAAAAATAACTTTTGTAAATAACAATCGCGGTCCTGGACACTGAGTGATCTTACACATTAAGATAATATCGTATTTTCTCCAGTCATTGTTAAAAAACAAGCTAACAATCCTTGCTAACTAGCGTTAGTGAAGCGGCCAGAGGGATCTTTCTGCCTTCACCTAAGCTCCGCCCACAAAAAAACGTCACCATGTTTACCAACTGTAAAGGGGTCTATTGTCATTTAAAAAGTGAAGTTCCAGTTACAAACGTGTAGGATAAAAAAATGTTATGAATCGAAAAAAAAAAATTGTTATGATTCCGAAATACTTTGTGACAAAGTCCGAAATAAAAAAAGGATTTGTATAGGAGATGCATTTGAAAGATGGAGATTTGAATTTGTGGACCCTGGCAACCTCGAGTCAGGGGGGAGGGGATACACCGCTCTACAGTAATTTGAAAGTGATTGCAGTACCAGTTTTGGCCACAATCTTACATATGGTTCCTTTAAAGGGTAATTAAACCCCTGGTCAGAGTCTGACTCCACCCACTGGCAATATTTGAAAATGCTGAAAAAGTGGGCTGACCCCAGCGGAGATAGAGAGGACGAAATAGATGCTAAAACACTCTATCCTGATCGTTTTCAATACTCACAATTCCAATTCCTGACTCGCTACAGTGGTTTTGACGACACAAGATGGTTTTTATACCGCGTGGTGAGCTGAAACCTGCGTACGTCACGAAGTGCGGAACATCCAATAGGAAAATTCAACTGCAGTAGCCACCGTTCAACCTGAAGAGGGCAGCACTAAGACGTTTTTACACCATATATTGTAGAAATAGAACACTTTATACACAAATGTCCAAAAATTTACTCGAATCAATGACTGGTATTAATAAAGATATGTTCTTACAGATCATTAACTAAAAAAAGTTGGTTTAGTGTTTAGTTACTCTTTAAATTATATTTTTAAAAAAATGTTTTACATTGGTAAAAACCATTTTCTTTGTACATGCATCACATAAATACCACGATACTGTACAGTATATTTGGTAATAATTCTGTAATGGTTTATTTTACATGTAGGCACTTGGCAACACGCTTTCATCCACATCAACCTTCAAAATATCCGTTTTATCAGAAGGTGTGTGCCACAGCATGTTCTGTAAGCGAAACCATGAAAGGGAGTTTATCGCACCTTAACAGGCCAGGCTGGGAGTGGCTGAAGGAAGTTGGCTTCGTATGGATAATCCACCATGGCTAAGTTCACCCAGGTTTCCTGCAGCCAAGCCTTGAAGCCGAACACGTCTTCTGGAGACTTTAAAGGACCACACAGTCCAAACTCTTGAGACAGCCACTGCAGACCCTCACCTACAAAAGAAAAACTAATCAAATGAGTCCAGGGAAACACAGACGCTTCGAAAAGAGAGTCTGTACAAAACCACAGAGTCACACATGAACATGGGCTTAAAAAAACATAACAAGGAAATCAAAATCAGGAAAACAAAAATCAAGCACTTCGAATTTAGTCAGCATTAAAATCAAATCAAATAAATTGAATATTGCAGTATTTCTTATAAATGATTTAATCAGAACACATCATGATTTTTTTTTTTTTATCCATGTGCCTCGTAAACTTTAATCAAAATAACTTCTCCCTCTTGCAGTGACATCTCTTCTCTGATGATGTGTTTAGTGGCGAGAGGGCGGGGCAACCTGTCACTCACATGAAATCGACCAATAGCAAACCACACCTATCCAATCAATTCCACAATTCCCCAAAATCAAGCCCCTCCCTACTTTTTCTTGTTAAAGATGACATTTACACCACAATACTGTAGAAAACACTATCACAACTTCCATTTTATGGCGACTTTAATTACACATAGTAACATTACAGGCACATTTTCATCGTTACTTATAGATTACCTATCAATTTTCACTCAGAAATTTCAAAAATAATTACAAAGAAACGGCAAGTAACGCATTGAATTTGAGTTAAATTTACACCACAATGATGTACTAAAAACGGAAAGATTTCCCTTTATGTTTTTTGTGTACAGATGACAACATTGTCAAAATAATCCCTGTTCACACGGACACACGCATCCGCAAAAAACAACGTAAACTGCTGTATTATGCATACCATATATTTATGTCTATAGACTGAACACATAATACACATAGTGTCACCATTTACACGAATTTGTGTTTTTGTACGTTTCAAAACACTTTTTCAGGCCCCAAAAACGCAATAGTTGTGTAAATGAACAGTCAAAACGCATAAAACGTTTTCCATTTTTAGTTGAAAACGGTGTCGTGTAAATGTTCCCTGAAATAGCATTTTCACAATTCATACTTTATAACTCGCAATTGTGAGAAAAAAATCCAAATTATGGGATATAAACTCACAAATGCAAGACAATAAATCTGAATTGTGAGTTTTCGAATTATAAAGTTTGAATTGCAAAATATAATCTCTCTCTTTAAACTCTCAATTCTAGCTTTTCTCACAATTGCGAGTTTATACCCTGCAATTCAGATTTTTTTTCCCTCAGAAATGTGAGATATAAATAAAAAAAAGTCAGAATTGTAAAGGTAAAAAGTCAGATTTACCTTTTGCATTTATTTTTATTCCATGGTGGAAACAAACTTCCAGAAATCACTAATAAATTTGTATTTTAAAAAATATCTTCCTTTTTGCATACTTAGGTCAAAACTAATCATATTAGGTTTCCTAAAAAGTGTAATCTAAAAGACCATGTTATTGATTATCATTGTAAATGTGTGTTTTGTAAACAGATCTGCCAACCATTATCATCATAAACATCATCTCTCATCGTGAAAAATAACGCAGCATGGCAATCCCATTCACTAACCTGTTGCTGAGACCCTGTCAATGGCGGCCCATGAGCTCCTGATGTTGCTGCTGCAGTTGGTGCCGCTGATGGTGAAGTCATGTGTGACCACTCTGTAAAACTCTCCGCACGGCACAATGAACTGCCAGATGGGAGCGGACGCGGCAAGAGCGCTGAAACCATCAGAAGGTCACAATCACTGATCCCATCCCATTTCACAGTAGAAAAATCACTTTCTTAATTAAACACATGGTTACACACCACACTTTAGCCTTTCTAAATGTAAGATATCATTAAGTTTCCAGGCATGATACTCCATTAAGTATGCACATACTGTACTTGTGCAGTTTCAATACTGATATTTCACATTTAGATGTAAACTACACTTGCTGTGACCGTTGAGCGCTTATTAAACATTTGCAATGTCATCTTCATGTCTTCATATATTAATTTATACAAGTTAGAAATGAATGGCGGGTGAAAACTCAGCTTTGCCATCACAATTTGAAATATATTACAATAGAAAAGTTATTTTAAATAGCAATAATATTCTGTAATACAGTTTGGAGTTCTGGAGATTGTCTTGACCAGGACTACACCCCTAAATGCATTGAAGCAACTGCCATGTGATTGGTTGATTAGATAGTTGCATTAATGAGAAATTGAATAATCCTTTAGGTGAGTGTATAATAATATGTATAGATAATATCAATATATTTCAATATAAGGCAAACTCTCACCCTACAACTGCACTGGGATACTTCATCCTGAGCCAGGCCGCCAGCATCCCGCCGTAGGATCCGCCGATGGCGACGACTGCACTCTTCTGAGCTCCAGGCAGTGTGTTCTTCAGTGCTTTGATGAGCACTGCAAAGTCAGCTAAAGCCTGTTCTGAGGTCAGGTAGTTCAGATACTTTGCATTCTGGTGGAAAGGAAAGACAAGTCCAGGCGGTCAAGGACGGTGTTTTCTAAATCATTGGTTCGCACAAGGGGGCCTCAGCGAGCTCTGTGGGGGGTCGCGGCATATTTTGAAGGTTTGAGCAATGAGCATTAAATAAAAGTCCTTAACTTTTTTCTGTTCAAAATTTACAAAATGTATGAAGAGTTCAGATGCAAAAGGCTCTAAGTGCCATTTGAAACTTTCTTCTAGAATGATCATTTTTATCAAGCTTGTATATTTAAGTTCAGTGATTTCAGTTAAATGGCAATCATAATTACCTATTAATTGTTATTTAAGTGAAATTACTGAACTTAAATATACAAGTTTGATAAAAATCATCATTAACCACTTAACTGTCACCGTCCCACAGGTGGGACGTTTGCCACTATATTTTTAAAACAATAATATCTTAGTAAATACCTTAAATAATATTGACAAACTATATATCATTTGAAAGCTTACAATCTCTAGTTTCTATATTTGGTGACTGATTTTCAAAATATATTACAGAGGAGCCATAATTTATCAATATAAAACAAGAATATTTTCATACTCATAAGGCGTGTTCAGACCTTTATTTTAAAATAGAAGTAAACATGAAAAATCATGAAAAAATGGTAGAAACCTCAGTTTGTTTTCATGGCAAAAGTTCAAAAGATAGAATCCATTCAATTATTTTGGAAAAAAAAGGTCTGAAAAGTTTGAAATATCAAGAAAAAAATAATAAATTCACCATTTGTGACGTGGCAGCTAGCTATGACTTACATGCGTGTTCTTTGTATGTGTTTCTTAGAGGTTCAATTCATATCAAAATCTGCCAAACTTCCCATGCTACTTCTGAATAGGATCTCTACTTCAGAAATTGTATGAAAATTGTGAAAATAATGGTTCATATCACTCAAAACACGAATGGAAATGCAGGCGCCCTTATATGGGCAGTAATGGAGTCTGATTGTGCCCTAGTGAAAAAGTCTGGTACTGCGCTCAAACAAAATCTTACTGAAAGCTCATTTTTTGAGATATCAACCTAAAATTTGAAACACAACTTGTTCAGATTTTTGGCTTTGATCTTTCTGACATTTTAGAGTAGCCCAGGTTTTGAAAATATATATTTTATGTAAAATATGAATAATTAATATTTTTACATTGTACATTTCCATAAACTCAAACTTCTATAACTTTTTTTCTGTTTCACTTTCTTAATTTATTTAACTTCTACAAAAATCTGCCAAATGTCTTCTTTAAAACAAGACCAATCATATGTCTATATTCCAAAGCATTCTTCAATTACAACCATTTAAGTTCGAAATGTGCATTTTCATGTCTATTCAAAAAGGGGGGGTGACAGTTAACAGGTTAAAGAAGAAAATTTCAAATGGCATTTAGAGGCTTTTGCATCTGAACTCTTCGTATATAATGAGTGAGTTCATCATGAATCCATTTTTCAATCCGTGTTTTTGTCTTATCCTGAACCACTATGGTACACCTATAATAAGTGTTTACATTGGGACTATTTTACACTGGTTCGGATCGCTGCCGCTGCGGAGTACTACAGTACCTGCGTGACTCGTCATAGACGTACACAGAGAGAAGAAGTTCCGGCTACACTGTTCTTTCCGAAAGACGCATTATTCTGTTAATAAATGCAAGTTTATTATCGCTCTCTATTGCGCCAAAAGCGTAAAAATAAAGCCTCACATTGATAAAGCCTCACAGATAACATGCAAGTTTTGAGGCCCCAGATAACAGTCATTTAATAGCAGATATTCTTTTTTTTTTTTTAACCTAAATACCAGTGTGAATATTTTTATTTTTGCATTTCAAATAGGACCAATTAATAGGCTTCTCCGAGGCTTACGTTGTTAAACTACAAAGGGCCTACTGATGTTTTAGTCATTGTATTTTCAATATTATAGGCTATTATTTGTGCATAAACATACCGTTTGTTTGAAAAAAAAAACATATTTTGTTATCCTTGCTGCAAGCTTACAAGAACGATAATATCATTAAATGTGAAGGGGGGACCTAAAATATTTTCTTGGGAAAAAAGGGGGTCACAGACAAAAAAAAGGTTGGGAACCACTGTTCTAAATGACCCTCATTGCTCCACATGACTCACGCTGTAAGACTCCTCTCCGAACGGCATGGACTCTCCGTAGTAGCGATGTTCAGCAAAAACCAGCATAGCTCCCAGCTCTTCTGCAACATCCCACATGAAACCCTAGGGAAGAAGCAGAGGTTTAGATACTGAGCTTCAAAGTATTAGCATTTTATACTTTATACAAGTTTTCCTCTGAATGGTAATATTTCAATTTTTTGCTTCACAGACTTTCCTATACTACTTTTTTTTTTCGCAATGCTGCAACTATGAAGCTGATACTGATTTTCTAATGCTACGTTTATTATTATCACCAACCGTTAATGTTAAAGTTCATTATATCTGCCACACAGAATACAGTGCAACAGTGCACTGCCATTTTTTCAGCATCCTTGTTCGAATACTCAATGACTTTAATAAAGGAAAGAACTACAATCCCATGAAGCACTGTGAATGACATGAAAAAATATACTTTATATATAAATATTTGTTTGCAAAATATGCATTGTTTGCCATATGTGTCACATACAAATATGTAAGTAGTTTAAGAGGGTAGGAAATCTGAGTGCTTCATCATGAATGGGCAGGTGTAATGTGTTTTTGCAGAATCATGGGTAATGTAGTTTTTCCACCAGGAATTGTGTTGTTGAACACAATTATTTTAAAAAATGGGTGTAAATAATGTGGGTTGATGGCTTCAACTAAAACATATACCATCGCTTATCAGCCTCCTAGCTCACAGTAGGTATGTATTTAAAGGTTTATGAATTGTTGTAAAAAAGAAAGAAATCCCCTATAAAGAAAATAAATGAGATTTTTCATTCGAGAACCTGGCTGTTGCACTGTATGCATGAGTAATGACTGTTTTCTTAGAAAATAGCTCCCTGTTTTGTCAGTTGCACAATCCATAAATCACGGAGAATGTTTTTTCTGCCATCTCTTCATATCTAAATAAGAGATGTTCAAAAAGTGCATATTTACAGTGTTGTTACAGAACCATGTGATGTCTCCTTCATTGCCCGTGTAAAACAGGATCGGGCCTCCTTCCTCGTGCCAGTGCTGGTCATTGAGAAGATACCTCTGCTTGAACGTGCCATTCTCCAAAAAGCCAAAATGGTCAATCTGTAATAATAAAAAAAAAACTCAGATTAATAACGTCTAATAACAAAATTAACTACTTTTTTTTTTGTAAATCACAAGGGAAAAAAGATTGGCAGTTCTTAAGTGACTTGCCTGGTTAAAAAAAGGTTAATCCACCATCAAACCACATCACCAAAGCTGTCCCTAACCGTAGTCGTATCGCCTCAGTAGTTTTTCACAAAACAACATGATCAGTACTCTGTACCTAACAATTTTCTTTTTTGATATGAAACCTGATAAATAGGGACCAAACGCTTAATAATATTTGCCGCTTTTTTAACCACAACCAGTTTTAACGGATGTCTGAGCATAACATCCAGTGCCGATACAACACTGTCATTATTCCTGGGTGTTCCCCTCAATCTTCTGGCCTTCAGCCATCTCATATTTATGAGCGTGAAACCTCAGAGCAGGATGGAGGGATAATTAGCCTCAATTTGTATTAAAATCTAGTGCCAGCGTCAGGGATGCCACATTAGTTCCGGTTTCAGCAGAATTGTGATATCCATTCATCCGGTTCAGAGCTCGTCCACTACATTTCCATAAATTCTCCAAGTTTGAGGGAAGGAGAAAAAAAAACAGTGTTAAATTTTGTTCCCAGAGCTGCAATTCTGCAGTTCTTTACAGTTCTCGCTCTTCTTGAATCCCACCCAACACTTAATAAAGAATGTTCTCTCTAGTGTTTTGTTTTTTGGTAAATACCCTCTTTCTCCTCCCGTTGGCAACAAAAGAGGCAGAAATTTTATGAGCCAGTGACAGCAAAAGGACTCACAGTTACATTGATTCAACAGCAGTCAGAGCCTGGCTGCCGGTCAAACGAGTGTCACGAGTTATTTTCTGTGGAAGCTGTTACGTCTGAAGCCTCCAGCTCCAGAAAATTGACTTTTTTTTTACATCATTTATAAGTCTATTCATTTAATTTCCACTCATTTCAACAGTATTTTATCATGACGGTACACGCATCATTTTATTAAATATAACACATAAATCATTACATTAAAAATACAAGTATGTTATAAATATATTATAAAATATCAACATTTTTACATTTTGTGTTAAAATTACTAACATTAATATACACAACTGTTAAAAAGTTTGCCATTTCTTTATGTTAAGTCTCTTATGCTCACCATTAATTTGATAGTAAAAGCAGTAATGTCGTATTACAATTTTAAATAACTGTTTTCTATTTTAATATAATTTAAAAAGTAATTTATTCCTGTGATCAAAGCTGAATTTTAAGCATCATCACTCCAGTCTTCAGTGTCACATGATGCTTCAGAAATCAATATATGTTGATTTGATGCTCAATTGACATGTCTGATTATTGTTGAAAATGGAAATTTTTTGTAGATATATTTTTCCACGACTCAGAAAGTTAAAAAGAACAGCATTTATTTCACATGGAAATGTTACAATTGAATGCATTCTAGCTGAATAATGTATTAATTAATTAAAAAATAAAAACCTTAATCACCCCCGAACTTTTGAAAGGTAGTGTAGCTTAATTAATTACAAAATATCCTTATTCTGTTGTGAAATTACATGATATCACCTTTATCATAAACTTTCAAATGACTATGGCAGATTTGAGAAGTGAACACAATCTCAGAAGTTGAACACACTAGATGTGTCACATGATACACAGTGTGTTCACAGTGGTTCAGAAATGCAGCGCCCCCTTCTGGATGTTAGAAACGTAAAAGGCAAATGCACAGCACCGGAATGAGGAATGAGTCCATCAATCTACTATGTAAAAATGTGGAAGTGTCACATAGCTTGTTTTGTAACTTACTTTATCATGTCTAAACTTTTAAGAAGAACCTGATCTGGAGAAAAGCTTGTGGATATAGGGGAGAGCTCAGTTTGTGTAAACCTACTTAGGGTTATTTCTTTTTCCCCCGCATTAATTTCACACGTCTAGTAAAATTATATGGTTTTGTTTCATTGTATACTTTTTTTCTTGATTTACCCTGAACGAATGGAAGTTAGATGTGACAACATGCCCCATAGGTGGCACACATGTACGGAAGCGTATTGCTTGCATTCACTTGAGGAAACAAAATCTACTCTTTTCCGAATTAATGAGTTAATTATCTTAGAATTATGAGATAATTTTTCATCAAAATAAAGTCTTTGCTGTTTTTCTGAATTAAAGAGTTAATCATCTCAGAATTATGAGAAATATTTCTCTTGAAAAACATCCACTCTGTTGAGTTTTTGAGATAATCAAGTCACTAATTCAGAAAAACAGAGCAAAAACTTTTTTCCATGAAAAATTATCTCGTGATTCTGAAAATTAACTCGTTAATTCTGAGATGATTAACTCATTAAATCATTAAATAAAAAAAAAACAGAGTAGATTTTTTTTCTTCCAGTGAATGCAGTACGCTTCTGTGACAGCTTAAAATGTTATCTGATCTAATCAAGAGAAATATACAAGACAAACTCAAACATTTTCTCAATAAAATAAAACTTTTTCATATAAAACAATGGCATTTTTAAACACAGCTATACACCATAGTTCAAAACGTAATAATAATGAATCATTTCTGAACATTGACTCTCAGTTTTGTTTATTGTTACTTCTCGGCTCTTGCTTTAAACAATTGAAATCTAACTTTTGTTATCATATTAAAACTTCAACGTCATTTTAATTTGTTAGTTTAAGTTTATAAGCTCAAATGTTCTGTGATTCTCGTTCGTGACCCTCCTGTTCGAAGAATGAACGAATGTTTTTTCGAGTCATTTGATTCATTCAACAAACTAAATGAATGAATTGACTCGGAAAAAGATTTGTTCATTTTGATGAACGAGTTCGAACAGGAGAGTCACGAACAAGCATCACAGAACAGAGCAAGGCGACCATTTGAGCTTATAAAACTTAAACTTTGTTATCTTAAATGATCGTTTCGCTTGATAAGACCCTTATTCATCGTCTGGAATCGTTTAAAGCCCTTTGAACAGTTTGCAGTTTGCACTGAAACTGTCTTTTGGACCTTTACATTACATGGAGAAAAATCCTGGAATGTTTTCATCAAAAACCTTAATTTCTTTTCGACTGAAGAAAGAAAGACGTGGACATCTTGGATGACATGGGGGTGAGTAAATTATCAGCAAAAGTTTTTTAAAAAGTGAATGCTTTTTGTACTGTAATGCATTTGAACACAGCTTTGCTCTTGGTTGCTTGTCAAACAGTGTTCCCCGTTTCATCATCCACAACCAGCAACAGATGCTGAAATGATATCCCACGCCAACTGTCCAACCGCCCAACAAAGAGAATTAAAACAGCTCAACTCGAGCGGGAATGTGAAACGAACCACAGAGGGAATGTAAGATCTCGAGACCCATGTTTCATTTCCTCTAAAAGTATTCTTTCTGTGTAGATCCTTATTTTAACAGTCTCGTGTGCGCTGCTACTTCTGAAGGCTTTACCGTTTAAGGCATGCTAAGTCCTGACAAGGACAAAACCAAGACAATGAGGAGCAAGAAAGCCAGGAAACGGGCCTGATCTTCCTGACGGCTCAGAGGATGAGTTGAACAGACACCGAGAAACAATCGCCTTCAATCGTGGTGTGTCCAGGTCAAGAAGTAATTAGGCTCAGAGTACAGCATAACAGGATTGTTTTTGTCTAAAACTAGACGCGAGGCTTTTCCTGCGTCAGCTTTTCACACGGACAGCATGTAAAAGATTAACTGCTAAGCCACTCTTCAGGTTGAAAAAGAGATTAAATGTCTCTGAGACGTACATTATTAAATAACAGGCAGCGTCATAAAACCCTTAAAGGGATACTCCACCCAAAAATGAAAATTCTGCAAACCTGTATGAGTTTCTTTCTTCTGCTGAACACATAGGAAGATATTTTGAAGAACGATTGAAACTTGACTTCCATAATGTCTTTTTTTTTCTACTACAAATGTATGGATGTACTATGGAAGTCAATGGTGAAAGAAAGAAGCTCATCCAGGTTTGCAACAATGATGACAGAAGTTTCATTTTTTTGGGTGGAATATCCCTTTAAGCAATATACTAAATTATATATATACTAGGGGTGTAACAACATATCGTGCCACAATATAAAAATGCAACAATACGAATAAAAATTCAAAATTCAATTTTTCAGAGTTTTAGTGTCAGTACTAATTAAAACTACTGTACATAAAGTTGATTATAATGTATAATAATGCAATGGGGGAATATTTGTGGGTCCTGATATTGCCAAATGTCTTATCAGTAAAAAGTGTCCTCCATTTATTTGAAATATATCTAGTCAGTGACAGAGTGCCAGCATATCCGTCTGCTTCAGAATCATGAATATTGTTATTCTGGTGGTGTCACCATTGTCTTTGGGTTACAAGCACCAAGTCCAAACAATGTAATATCAAAGTTAGCATTTTAACCAACAGTACAGTTTTTGTCTTGGAGAATCGTAATAATATCGTATTGTGAGTTCATTATCGCGATATGAGGGTATCGTTACACCCCTAATATATACTATATACTCACTCTTAGAAGAAAAGGTTCTATCCACAAGTTTCCAAGGGGCGCTCCTGTAAAAAAATAAAGTGAGTGAAACTTCCGGTGAGGCGGCGGAAGTAGCATTCCAATGGTATGTTGTGTGTTAGTTAGCGAAGAGGCTAGCTGTTTTTCGGAGAATTATTTTACTATTTAAAGACGCAAATCTTTATGAGAGATGTCGTTACGGAGCTCAGGGACAACATGTGCTGTTCGTGGTTGTATGTATAACCGGACTAAACTAATTCAGTGGCTTAAACGTGATTGTTTTGAACATAAGCTGAAAACGAAATCAGAGTGATCCTGCCAACAACTGTTGTTTCCATCACCTCCCAAAAGACGACGAATCTTCCTGTGTACATTTGTTTAAATTCGTAATATTCTATAAACTCTCTCAGCATGTGATTGGCTGTTCGCTACTGATGTTACAGCTAAACTCAGGATCAAAGCCTGTGTTGACAGAATACCAAATGTGCCAGTTAATGTATTCAAGTAGCACATTCATTTATAATTTTGAATAAACTCCAAAGCACAATGACTAAGTGTGTATTTTTTTATTTTAATTGTTTGTCAGCTCGCACAACTGTCTGTCACCATGCCTTGATGAGTATTGATTATTAATAATGTTATTATAATACTCCCAATCAACTACTGCGGAGGGTAAAGGGACTGTTATTTCACCCTTTTTAATTTCGTTGAGGTTGTGTTCCCACATCGTTAGCTAGTTTGGATCGCTATAACTTGAATGACTGTCAACTGTTGAATGAACGAGTGTCAAGCATGTCAAGTAGCGCTTTGTTTACTTCAAACCGGAAGTCGCGCCCACTTTTGACGCAAGGCCTCATGGGGCGTAGGTAACTTGTGGATATAGAACCTTAAAAGGTTATATCAGCGCTACGTATTTGGAACTCCAAAATGGTTCTATATAGAACCATTTTTTTTGGTAAAAGGTTCTATACACTCTTTAAAAAAAGGGTTCCTCTGGGTTCTATCATACTTGGCCAATAGAACCTTTTACCAAAAAAAATGGTTCTATATAGAACCATTTTGGAGTTCCATATATGAAGCGGGGGATGGCACCATTTCTGGTTCTAAATAGAACCATTTCTTCTAAGATATAACTAAACAAAATAATCACTCAGTGTTTTTAGTCAGTGCGTGTTAGAACACCATCATCACATGATAAAAAAAAAAAAAAAAAAAAAAAACCATCATCACATGATGACACATATAAAATAAAGGGACTTTCAAGATTTCGCTTTCAGTTCAATCAAGTGAAAACGGGCAGATTGCCAAAATACGAGCCATCCCAGAAGGGCAAAGGATCTGCTATTATTCCGTGGGGGCCACAAGGGAAAGGGAATTTCCTGCAGACACAATACACAGCAGAACGGCACAGATTATGTACACGTTAAATAAAGGAAATCCTTAAAGGAAGCCCAGTTGTAAGTTAATGAGCAGCCACACAACCAGAGAAAACTGCTGTGGGCTGCAGAACACGGCCTGGAGATGTGATCGGTCACAAGAGTTTCTGACTGACACGACAACGCTTTACAGATCTGATAAATGAGCTGACCTGTCAACAACAGACAAAACCGTCACACGAGATTCTGACACAGGACCAAAGTTGGAGAAAGATGGCAATCGGTGTAACCACTACAGATTTGAACTTAATTGGTTGTCGAGTGCATTGATAAATTGTACTATTTGGTTAGTTTTATAGCCTACTTATTTAATGCTTTACCATAAATGTATTATAATATTACGTATAAAATAGTATACACAATAATAATATTAATAAGAAGACATTATGTTATGTTAAGTTATTATTATCATTAAATGCACAGCAGAGCCGTTGTGCATCTCTGAGCAACACAGAAATGATTCGTTGATGAATGAATCAGCCCTTTGAACAAATGCTGAATTAATGACTCAGTGAATCACTCATTTAGATGAGTGGTATAATTAGGTATAATTTCAAATAATTTAATATTTTAATATTCACATTAAAAAGACACCAATCACATTATTTATTAGGGCTGTCAAACAATTAATCACATCCAAAATAAAAGTTTGTGTTTACATAATATATGTGGGTGCACTGTGTATAATTATTTTATATATATAAATACACACAAATGCTTGTATATATTTTAGAAATATTTTCTTCAAGAAATATGTTTATGTTTTATATTTACTCTTTTGTACTTCATTAGTTATTATATTCACTGATAAAATGCACTTTGGTTGGGTCTCACATAACACAAAATAGATGGAAATAAATGTGCAACCTTTAGATCCTAAACAACTTTGCATAGGCCTAAATAAAGTGGTGTGTATAAATAATAATAATTATAATAATACAAATAAAACAACTGATTGTTATAACTATTTAGTGTTATTGTTTATACCATTTTATTTATTAAAAGGAAAACAGAAGGTTGTCTGCAATTTTTTTTTTTTTTTTTTACTATTATTTGAATTAGTTTTTACTGGGGGAAATCATATTTAGCGTAGAATAGAAATAAAATAACCTGTATCTGACACACACACACACACACACAAAGTATAGGCTATATCAGCGATGTCAAGGTAAACAAAGTTATTTCTTTACACGCTTTTAAGTCCTATTAAATTCAATTTCTTATGCCCAAGACTGAATAAACAGTCAGGTAAGACACGTAATAAATTCAATAAGACACTTGCTTACCTGTTGATCAAAATAGAGAGTTTTGTAAGAGAGAGGTCTGTGATGAGAGTAGGTTTGGACGGTGTGTCTGCCTAGAAGCTGCGGTTTGAAAGCCAGTGCATTACAGCTGAGAAAGATGAGGAGGAAGAGGAGAGCAGTGCTGGTCAGTCTCATGGCTGAATGAATGAGTGAGTCCAGTCACAGGTCATCTGGAAATATCAAGCAATGGATCATTTGCATACGCGGAACGAGGAAGGATGTCAAATGACTCGTTGTTGTTATTCCGTGACGCAAAGTTTTCAACTACAGTAATACAAATAAAAAAACAAAGGAATACAATGTAATGCGTTAAAGGAGAGCTATATAATACCGTAGCTTTTAAGTTTTAATTAACGAAATTTTAGAGCATTTTAGAAAATGGTCATGCAGTAAGCCTGCTATCTGTTCGCCATGTGTGTATAGTGATTAAGAGTGTCTTTCTGTCTCAGCGCTCACTCAAAGCGGATTATGTCTGTTGTTTCTGTCGACAAACGGCATATTTTGTTAACTTCATTTAACGATACAACGTGCTTCCGTATTGTAAACACGTGATCTGCGCGATGCCTCATGGTTATTGTAGTTTCTTGTTGTTCCTCGCCCCTTACGAAAGTAATAACCGTAGTTTAAAGGGATGGTTCACTTTGAAATGAATTTTTGATATGTTTTAGCTTACCTCAAGGGCATCCAAGTTGTAGGTGTCTTTGTTTCCACAGTATTTTCAATTTTGATATTTTTATGTCAAACCAATCTTGTCTGTCAGTCATACAATGCAGGTTTATGGGGTTCACCCTGGGTCCACCTCAAAGAGCATGCACAGAAAAATCCAAATTAAACATGATTTAATGACTTAAATGTAAGTACACATTGATGGCCTAAGACACGAAACGAGTGGTTTGTATGAGAAAACGAACAGTATTTACATTGTTTACCTCTTGTAATCACAGTCATGTCCAAGTACTCTAAGGGCGAGGGCGCTTCTGTCTGTGCAAATCTCTTGTTTACACAGAGATTTCGGAAGTTTTACCTTTCACTGTAAAGATCTAAACATATTTAGATATGCAGGAAATCGCAATGTAAGACGATTTCGATATATCAACAGAAAACGTATAATTTGTTTTCCGTAACCGCGCAAGACCAAAGCGCCCTCGCCCTCAGAGTACTTGGACGTGGCTGTGGTTACAAGAGGTAAAGGATATAAATACTGTTCGTTTTCGCACACAAACTGCTATCTATCTATCTATCTATCTAGATAGATAGTAAACTCTACTAACTAAACTAAAACATAAACCTTCAAACTTAAAGCTGTTAAAACTACTGAAAACTTTCTTGCTAGTCTTTCTCAAGCCAACAATATTAGTATTCATTGAATATCAGTAAAATTGTATTCGTGAATTATTTTAGTATGTATTTTTAAAAATATATTACTATTGTTTTATAATAATAAAACCACATTTTTTGTACAGGAAATTGAATCTACAAAAAAGTTGAACTCATTTCCCACAACAACAACAATACAGATAGTGTCATAACCATGTTTATTTGGAGAAATGTATTAACTTGCAGTCTATATGCTGAGAATTAAAACACAAAGTTACACAGAATTGCTCAAGAAAACATATTCGCAATACTGAATTGCTGCAGTCGTGGGGTTTGTCTCTTTATGACAAATGAATCGCAGAAGACGAATCACAACTTATATACCAAAAGCACAGAAATGTACAGCGAAAGAATTGAGTTTCATCTTCACTAGACAAAAGACTGTTACTCCTTGATGAATATTGTCTTTACATAATGAGACATAATAACAGCGTCCACAGAAAATGTAAGCGCTTAGTAGCAACTTGTACTGAAAATTAGGGCCTTTAACATAGAAAAGAAATTATTATAGAGTCCCATTGGTACACAATGCAACACATTACAATATGGCGAGTATCTGTAAAACAAAGCTAGACAAAAATACCCGACAGAGAAAATACTGTGCATGGCACGTCAAGTAACATATAAAGAAAACAGTTTATACAAAACTAGAAAAGGTTATCACTTTAAAATAAAATGTTAATAGAAAAGCTTAATATCATATAAGCAGCAATGCGTAAATATGAGGAAAATGCATTATATTGGCATGGACAAAAAAAAAAAAAAAGTAAAACAATTGGTCCTCAAGTTAGTGTTGGATTTTGTTGAGTGTTAAAAAAAAAATCACTCTAAACAAAATCATTGAACTATCATCATCATCATCACAAGGCATGGAAAACCTCAGATGTAATTCCGTCAATTTCGTTAATAAAAGGAAATAAAAGGAAAAAGCTCTGTAGCAGCAAGTAAAATACTGACAGTCTATAAAAGAGGAGATTCACAGTTCCATTGTAATGACACAGGTGCAAACAGCCTTACAGCACAGCCAAGGTTGGAGGTACAAGTTCCAACGGTTTCAAAAGTCATTAAAATGCACAAGAACACAAATCAGAATCACTGCATCACACCGTTAAACAACTCCATCGTCTTTTCCTCAATACAATGCATTGAAACACAAAGACCATTTGTGCAAGAACTCACTGAAACATCTATGGAATACATGATATCTCTCATTCACACAAAAACTACACACACTGTTCTCTTGGCCTCTCAAGTGCCAAAAGCTTAAAACATCGCTACGGTTATTACAATACTAAAGCTGGACTAAATGAACTACAAAGCATCCTGGTATTTTTCAGTTCTTGTAATATGTAATAATGTGCAGGACAGAATATCTCCGAAAGTGAGTCAGGAGTTTTCCTATAGGGAAAACAAACTATTAATATGGAATGAAATAAGCATTTTAGACAGTGCATTATTACATCGAGTTCATTGCGTTTACTTTTTTAGGACATAATGAGCAAAGCCGCTAAAAAAATCTGGACTAACACGCCGTTCAAAGGTTTAAGGCTTATTTTTGAGCATTTTATGTTCACCAAAGCTGTGTTTATGTAATTAAACATATAGTAATATTGTGAAATGTTATTACAGTTTAAAATGAACGTCATTTATTCCTGTGACGTAAAGTCTTCAAATCGAATATATTCTAATATGACGTTTAGATGCTGAAGAATCATTTCTTGTTATTATTATCAATGTTGTGCTGCTTAATATTTTTGTGGAAACTGATACATCAAAAGTGCATTTATTTGAAATACAAAATCTAAATGTCTCTATGGTCACTTTCTTTTAGCAATTTAATGCATCTTTGCTGAATAAAATAATTAATTTCCTTCAAACCAACATAACTAATCCCAAACTTTTGAACGGCTGTGTATTTCAGAAAGAAAGAAAATGGAGCTTATTTTGTGAACGATAACATTTTTACAGTGTGCTTAATTTCCATAAGAATTACGCACATTTTCCATTCCTATTCATGACTGTAATGCAAAAATGAAAAAAAAAAAAAAAAAAACACTTTAAAGTTGTATTTGTATATACGTAGTTGTAATTCTACATGTTATGGTAGAATTACTATGGTTTACTGTAAAAAAATTATATATATATATATATATATATATATATTTACAGTAACTGTGTCTGGACAGGATTATTACAATTACTGTACTGATATCCTAATGAGAATTATTCTTAAAATAATGAAAAACAAACTCAAATGCAAGAGAAAAAACAACCTTGCACCCAGACCGATATATTGACACTATGAGTCACATTTTCGGCTGAAACGTGACCCAAACACGTACCCCAAGAGATTCCCCGGGGTGCAATGTAACGCATTACGACAGGATGGAAATGGCAGAGGCACATTGGGTTTTTGCTGTGACTTATCAAAATGACATGGCCTTCGTTGAGTATTAACAGCCAGGCTTCCATGTACCCAGTGGATGTTTAGTGGGTAGTTTATATTCTCCGCCTAATAAATGAGGGGGTTTTACTTAACATCTACCTGTCACAGATTATTGACGGTAGCTGGCTGTCTGTTTGCATTGACTTTCATTTAAAAAAAGACAAGCATGCATTAGCAACCTCAAACCATCTCGCAAAGAAGTGCATTTTGCGCGAGTAATAAATGTGCACATCAACACACCAATTTTGTGGTTCTTAAAGGAGCAGTTCACCCTAAAATGAAAATTCAATCCGCATTTACTCACCCTCATGTCGTTCCAAACTGTAAGTGTCATATGGCTAGCATACAAGTTATGTAGACTGCTTTGTGCGAATTCATCCGGGAAAAGGTCAGCGTGAACATTCTTCGAAACATCTTCTTTTGTGTTCCACAGAAGAAAGTAAGTATTATGGGTTTGGAATGACACGAGGGCCAATGAATGATGACAGAATGTCAATTTCTGGATGAATTACGGTAGTTCTTCAAGTGCGTGAGATTGCGAAGAAAACAAATCTCTAATATGACAAATACATTGGCTCTCGAGTCAGCAGGGAAATCCCAACTGTTGCATTGTACAGAAGTGTAGAAAATCTCATTGTCTGACCTACTAGCAAGCATTATTGTGTAACAAGTCCAAAAGCATCTAGGAGTTTCGGACCAACCCCCCCTCCTTTAAAAGCAGCAGCATCTTGTTATGTTTTTCCCGAATGTATGTTTTAAAATACTCAGGGATTTGAGAAGGGTAAAAGAAGTAGACACTGCAACTACATAGTGGTCACCAACAATACAACCACTTTGTATGCAATCCATGTTGCGTCCTCAGCCAGACAGGGAGGCCGGGTCTACTTAGTTCATGCTGCAGCAACTCAAGTAATTGATGTTTTTCCCTTCTCCAGGCATGGGGGTGGAGTCGTTGTTGTCCAACGTGTTTTGCTTGGCCTCGCGGATCAGTTCGCAGGCCAGATCCAGAAAGAGCTTCTCCACGTTGTCCGATTCTTTGGCTGAGGTCTCCAGATACAACATGCTCTGAGCCTCCGCAAACTCCTCCGCTCGCTGCCGGTGGACCTCTCGCTTGTCGGCCAAGTCGATCTTATTCCCTGTGAACGACAACAGTATCGAACAGGGCTCAAATGCTCTGGTGACAAGGACATCCAACATATGTTGACAGCTAGATGGTCAGTTTGTTCTGTGTTAACAAGTAAGCTGTTGCGCCGAAAACGTATTAAAGTAATGTTGATAGACGGTTTCCAACATCTGCGTGGGCACCTTAAAGGGATAGTTCACTTTGAAATGAATTTTTGGTATGTTTTAGCAAAGATGTATGCGTCTTTGTTTCCACAGTAGTTTCAATTTTTATATTTTCAGGTCAAACCGTTCTTGTCTATCAGTCATATAATGGAGGTCTATGGTCACCACCTTAAAGAGCATGCACAGAGAAGTCCAAATTAAACATAAATTTAATGACTCGTAAATGTAAGTACACATTGATGGCCTAAGACACGAAACGAGCGGTTTGTGTGAGAAAACGAGCTGTATTTATATCGTTTTTACCTCTTGTAATCACAATCACGTCCAAGTGATCTGAGAGCACAGGTGCTTTGTGGCTGTGGTAACAAGAGGTAAAACGATATACTGTTCGTTTTCGCACACAAAGCGCTTGTTTGGTGTCTTGGGCCATCAATGTGTACTTACATTTACGAGTCATTGAATCATGTTTAATTTGGACTTCTCTGTGCATGCTCTTTGAGGTGGTGACCATAGACCTCCATTATATGACTGACAGACACGAACGGTTTGACCTAAAAATATCAAAATTGAAAATACTGCGGAAACAAAGACACATACATCTTGGATTCCCTTGAGGTAAGCTAAAACATAAAAAAAATCTATTTCAAAGTAAACTATCCCTTTAATCAGCAAGTATATGAAACTGATACACTTTTTTGTAAATCACAGATGTCATGAAACTCTCAGCATTAAAATCGCAGTGAAACGGAAGTAGCCACAGATGCAAACACACACTTGGTTCAATGCATCGGTTGTTGATTGGATTTTGAGATGAGATGGAGGGGAATGAGACAAACAAATGACCACAGAGCTAGGTTAAATTATGTCTTTTACCATTTGCGATGCCTGGCAAAAATTAAAAGGTACACTATGTAACTATTTTAATTCAAAAGTAAGAACATTTAAATAATTGGTCAATACATCATTAATCCTTCTTCCAAAAAGTGTTTTTGCCTGTCAGGATGTTTTTTGCGGGAAATTGACACTCGTCTGAGTGTCTCGTCATATCCTTAAAGGAGAACTCTGGTGCAAAATGAACCTTTGGTCTAATAACACATTGTTCTCTGGGATTTGCTTTCATGATAATCGAATGTAAAGAGTTTTATCTCTAAAAACGGTTTAGATTATAACACTAGTATATGGGGGCATTTAATAAGTAAAAAGAAATCGCTAGTTAATACCACTAACAAGGCTCAAAATAGCCCCACACTAACACAGTAACATAATGAGGGTCCATACATGCAAAACGAAGCATTGAGAACTTTTTAAGTGAACAAGAAGATACTTTATAAAGTCCACTTCATGTATACAGACAGGATCTTTGGAAAACAGTCTCGACAAGTTAAACCACAAACGCCGTTCATACAGTTTGGCTCACTTGGCACGTCGTTCGTGGTTCGAGAAAATAAATTGAAGCTTGAATACTCACCTACTAAGATTGTCACCACTTGGTTGTTGGCATACTGCTCGATCTCCCTCAGCCACTCAGGAAGGCACCGGAAGGAATCTTCACAGGTGATGTCGTAGGTGAGAATGAGGGCGTTGGCACTGCGGTAGTAACTCTGGGTAATCGAGCGGAACCTCTCCTGCCCGGCCGTGTCCCAGATCTGGAGCTGTGGATCAAATAATCAGTCGAGTCACTTCACACGTTCAGCAGAACCCACCACAAACTACAGCTTTCACTCCATTACATTAGCAGGAAGTGGAGTGAAACGCTGAAAAAGGCTTATCTGAAGTATAAAATCATTGGTTACCCGTAAGCCAATCACATAACGCAATCATCTCTCTCTCCAACTTAAACCCCATTCAAAATGTTTAACAAACACTCTTCTTGTTCAGGCTTCAGTTTGGACATGCCGGGAATATTCTCCACAACAGAGCGAATTGCATCCCGTGTCTCCATATCCGCGGTCGTTTTCGATTTCCCTAACCTAAAATACAATCTTAAACTCGGCGATTAGCGTCTACGGCTCTCAGCCAGCCCTCTGTTCGTTGATTGGCCAGCTGTTTTCAGGCCGGAGGAAAACTGAGAGACATGTCGATGTCTCAGATTGAGTACAGAAGCGAACTGAAATAGAGCGGAAGTACGAAGTCTGACGTAGCTCAGAGGTGCCTTTAAATGCAAACACAAAATCGGTCACAGTGTTCCAGTGGTCTAAACTGACGCTTTCTTCAATTATATAATAGAATGTGTTATAAATGCCACTATAATTTATGTTTGTTTTATACTCATATTTTTAATTCCTGTTCTCTTCTGAATAACGTTAGATTTGTAGCGGAGTATGGTAAATATATAGTTTCATAGGTAATTCAGGTAATTTTAAAGGTAATTTATAGTGTTTAGAATGTATGTTTTGTTTTACTTATTTATTTTGACATTATTTGTTCATTTAATATTCAAATGTGACATACACTGATGCAAACTTTATTTATTTTTTGTTGCCCGGTGCGTATACTATACTTTTATAGTATATATATATATATATATATATATATTAGGGCTGTGCAAAAATTAATTGCGATTAATCGCATCCAAAATAAAAGTCTGTGTTTACATAATATATTTGTGTGTGCTGTATATAATAATTTTGTATATATAAATACACACACATGCATGTATATATTTAAGAAAATGTGTTATTCATATATAAAATATTTATATTTATATAATCTAGATTATGTAGTTATATATATATACAAAATTTAAGCGCAAATAATTCTTAAATATATACATGCATGCATAGGTATTTATATACACAAAATAATTACATACAGCACACACAAATATATTATGTTAACACAGACTTTTATTTTGGATGCGATTAATCGTAATTAATTTTTGCACAGCCCTAATATATATATATACACACAGTATATTTAAAGCAATACAATCTTTTTTTTTTTTTTTTACATTGATTTCTTTACTTTATATTTGGCCATGTTAAGAATCCTCCATGTGTCATTTCCAACAGCCTTGTCAATGGATAATAATCACAAAAAAGTGAATTATTACTATTACTTTGTGAAGTGTCCTTGGGTTTGGGGTTAAGTAAATAAAAAAATAAAAAAATAAAAAAATTATTATTTTTATTATTAAATTGTTAAGTGTCCTCGGGTTTGCGCCTATGCCATGTCCATAAAAAATAATAATAATTAATTATTATTATTTACATAGCCCCTTTAAAGGAACACTCCGACTTTTTGGGACTTTAGCCTATTCACCTTACCCCCCAGAGTTAGATAAGTCCATACATACCTTTTTCATCTCCGTGCGTGCTATTGTCTGTTTGACGCACCCACCGCTAGCCTAGCTTAGCACAAAGACTCGATGTGACTGGTTGCAGCTTTCATACTGATCCAAATAAGTGGCAAAATAACGCAAACGTTTTCCTATTTACATGTTGTGATTTGTATAGTCACATAATGTACAAATAACAAAGTCAAATGAGACACAGACATCTTTTAACCGTATAAAACCTGGGAACTATTCTCTGAAGGCGAAGCACTGCTACTTTGACGGCGTAATAACCGCATCACCGAGACAAGCCGTGGTGAGGAGCGGAGAGTTCGCTCGGTGTTTGGGTAATAGAGTCAGAAATTTATAAATAGTAAAAGCGTAGTTTAGAGTCATGGGTTTTCGCTCTATTTTAAATAGCTGCGACTGTAAACAGGGGAGGTAATACCATGTTTCACAGAATTCCAACTAAAAACGCTGACTGGATGAAGAAATGGCTAACTTACTCTGGATATTTATCCAAACACACCTAAGATTATCAAGGGACATTATGTTTGCTCGGTACTTTTCAATGAGGACGACTATTTTGAAAAAATGGAATTTGCCACACGGACCATAATGTGCTGAAGGATACGGCCATCCCATCGATAGCACAGACAGGACAAGTGGATCACCTGCGGCTGAGGTAAGTGTTCCGTTATGTTTTTAGATGACCTACTGTAACAGTGCCATTATTAGCCAGATCTAATGTAACGTTAGTGACACTATTATATGATTAGGGTATGAATGTGTTTTTATCTTGATGCGGTGCGGACGCGCTTGGGAAAAAAAAACGAGCGCGTTCACCGCGTTGAACTTGCACCCTGCGCGCGGCGCGCCTAGTAGCCTAAATTTGAAATAACCATGGAAATAACGAACTTGAGCGTGCAAAAGGGTACGATAGGCTGTGAGTTCATTGTGCAAAAACAATTTGTGCTATTACTTTCCCCTTATTCTATCCTATAGTAATGCAATACTGTATATATAGGCTACTGTTGAATACATTTGGTTCAGCTAATAAATTGCATTTAAAATATATTGATTCCTGTAATAATAATTATTTATTCATGTGATATTTATAAATCTGGGTGCGTTTTTGGTTGGAAATCAATGAAACATGGTACTGTATTACCTGGTCTCCCCTGTTTATTGTCACAGCTCATACAATAAAGCAAACACCCATGATAAACTATGCTTTTCTATCTAACGTTAGTAATTGCTGACTCTTTATTCCAACGCTGAGCGAAGCGAACTAGGCTCTTCGTCACGGTGCGTCTCAGGTGATTGTTATCACTCTGCCCAAGTAGCAGTGCTTCCCCTTCCGAAAATATAGTATTTATACGGTCAAAAGATGTCTGTGTCTCATATGGCCTTGATATTTGCACACTCTGTGACTATAGAAACCACAACATGTAAATAGGAAAACGTTTGCGTTATTTTGCCACTTATTTGGATCAGTATGAAAGCTGCAACCATTCACATCCAGTCTTTGTGCTAAGCTAGGCTAGCGGTGGGTGCGTCAAACAGACTTATAGCACGCACGGAGATGAAAAAGGTATGTATGGACTTATCTAACTCTGGGGGGTAAGGTGAATAGGCTAAAGTCCCAAAAAGTCGGAGTGTTCCTTTAACAAAGGACAATTTACAATTCATGACAAAAAGAAATCAAGAGCATAACCAAAAGATTTAAAAGAAATAGAAAAGATTACAGATATAACATAACACAAAATAAAGACTGAAACTAATATATTATATAACTTTTCACATTTCTTTATGCATTCTTTATGCATAATGAGTCACACCCACCTTCACCTTCACTCCTTTTATTTCCACAGTTTTGATCATAAAATCGACTCCAATGGTGGCACCTTGTCCAGGAGGGAACAGCCCCTAGAAAATGCAAGATGAAGACGTTTGAATTACGTTATAATGAAATTATAATAGAGGACCATCAAACCTGTAGAAACGCTGCACACTTAATTGGAAATGATTACACACACACACACACCTGAGTGAAGCGTCGGACGAGGCAGGTTTTGCCCACTCCAGCATTTCCAATCAGCACAATTTTGAATAAGTAGTCATAATCCTCCATGCTCACGCTCAGCTGAGGGAACATGAATGAAGACAGAGAGAGACAGGCAGACAGACAGACAGGCAGATAATACGTGGGTGTTAAAAACTGCAATGCAAAACACACACGGCTGAGCAACATCCCTCTGATAAAACAGTGTTTGAAGTAACAGAGCCTCAGCAGTCCTTACAGAACAAACATTTCAATGTCACCAGTGATGCATTACTGAGAACAAACGAGGGAATAAACTACGCCTCATGTCTCTGGGGACCGTTTTTTTTTTTTTGGGGGGGGGGGGGGCTTTCCATTCTTTAATTGATTGGATCAACAGTGCCTCTGTATTTCACCACACACATTAGCTGTGTTTGTGTCTGAAGTGTTGCTATAGGAGAAGCTGCTATGCATGCGCTCAAACACTGCTGTTGCCAAGGCCTATGGCAGGATGCTGAGAGGAGCGCAATAAAGACACCACGAATAAAGAGCAACTCCCAGAGGCCTGTCAACACACATGCATACAGGCAAACACTTGTTCAACAGCTAATTAAGAATGGTGCTGGACGTTAGCATACGCTGCTTACAAGAAATATAGCTGAAAATGTGCATAAACCCCCTTTTAAAAACCGTTTTGATTCAATAAACTTAACTTGACTTGTTGTATGCATGAACACTCCACCATGTCATTACCACTGCAAACCAACTTCATCTCACATTCATTTTCAATGCAAATAATATTTATAAAATAAAAAAAATATTAGTTGAGTTTGTGATCAGTCATATTTAGATCTTTTTGCACACAATTTATGGCATATATGCATAGTTTTTGTTTTAGATGCAATGCAAAACACTAAAAAACATGCAATTCAAATGTATTGCTATGCAAAACAGCTATAGATTTGAATTGTTTAATAAAAAAATACAAATAATTGTTTATGCTATTTTACCCTCACATTACATAGTTTGCTTGCAACATAATGCAACAGCATGAGCACAACTTTTTACACTCGTAGTATAACAAAATATTTAATTTGGATCCAGAAATAAATGCTGAAAATAAATCAATTATAACTTTACATATTAAACATTATGACTCTAATATGTGGATTATTTAGAAAACACACACACATCAATGCATACATGAACACACATACTGTATATACTTACATGCATGCACATACATGCATACTACAAAAAAAACGTAATAAATCATAGAACAGAAAAAGAAATACTTTATTGATCCCCACTTGGTACGAAAAAAATCTGCAATATCTCCAAGCAGAAAACTGAAATCTGATATGCAATATACCTCTGAGCAGAGGAGAAGGAGGAAAAAAACACAGCCACGGCCTAAATCCTTTTCTTTCTATTCGGACCCTTTATAAATACTGAAAACTGCATATTTTATGTTATGATGATATAAAACCAGCAGGCACAGTGTTCTCCATTAGCTATAGCAGGATGTTGTGCACATTAAAGGTCACATTAAATCATCTTTTCACTTACCAAACGCAGGGGATTCACCCCACTGCTTCTATTATTCCGAATGCATTCAGTCTCTTTTCTCCAGGCTCTTAATCTAAACGATAATAGCAGTCGCGCAGCGGCCAACAGCAACCTCGGCAGATTTTCGGCTCCAGTGTTGCTGCACAATAATCGCAGAGTTTCCTCGGTTTTTTGATAATGACGTCATGCTGCTTCCCCAGTGGAAGAAAACCCCCGCAGCATTCTGGGATTTGAAGTTCTGCTTCTATCCGCAGCGACTTTACTTGATTGAACTGTGAAAATGGCACAACAGAATTGCAGAAAAGCTGACTTTTCACCTTAGATTTCTGGATTTTCTCAGATTTACATGTCGCATTTTTGACTTTTTATTGGAGTTTTGAGTTTAGGCCTATGACTCACAATTCAGATTGTTTTCCTCTGAATCCTGAGATTACGTCTCGTTTTTTCACACCAAATAATAAAGGTAATTGCTTTTCTATCTCACTATTCCAACTTTTTTCTCAAAATTTATGTCTAGCATTTCTGACCTTTTTCTCATCAGAATTGCGATAAAAAAATCAAAATTATGAAATAAAAATGTGCCTTTTTTGGCCAACTTCTTTCGTCACAGATTTTGCAGAAACTACTCACTAAATGTACAATATCTTTCTATGACAGTAGTAGTAATATTAGTATGCGGTTAGTAGAGAAGTATGCGATTTCGTTATTGCAGCCGTCCCCGGAACCCTTGTAATTCGTCGCCTGTTTCTCCTCGGACCGGTTACTATTTCCGCCTAAACAGTGTCCTTGGTTTCCTCTAGGAGGTGATATGGAAAGTTAAGTGTTCTGTCTTCAGAAAAAGACTGTTATCTGGGAACATGGGGCTTCTGCCAGATGAGGCGAAACGTCTGCCTCCTCCGGGGATCGTCAACAGAAATTCGGTGTGGCTGGGGGTGTGCGGCTGGGCGTGCGCGTTGATGCACAACAGCTTGAACCGCAGGCCTGCACTCAAAGCCGGTGAGAACAAATCTGCACCAATGCAGTTCTAATAAATCATACCCGTATCAAACACATTGTCAATTGATGGCATAATAATGTCAAATGAATGCGTTCCTGGTTGAATTTACTTTGCCGTATTTACACAAACTGTGGTGGTTCACTTCAGTCATATTGATAGTTTGACATTTGCATGGTAAGTTATTGAATAAACACCACATATATTTGTTATTTACATGGTAAGTAACTATATACGAAAAAACTACTTTATTACTACCATTGGGACACTTTTATTCTCGTTTTATCACCTCAGCCAATAATATTGCTTGTGACTGTACATAATTTGCATTTCAGCACTTTATCGTTTTTTAAATATAAACTGAAATTGAAACAGCAGTCATGCAGGCTTTAAAGTCAGTTTTAAATGTAAGCCTTTTCTAATTTATTGTGAATTATATAAGTGAAACGGTTTCTCAAACAAGAAAAAAATGCTGGGCGGGACTTTATTTTGTCCATGGGGAACTGATTGGCTGATCTCATGTGAGTGACAGGTTGCCCTGCCCTCACACCGGTAAACATTAGTGAAGTGATGTCGATGCAAGAAATTAATCATGTTTAGTAAATAGTTCAATATTATTTAAAAACTTAGAATTGTCCATTTTGACTCCATGGTGACTTTAATAAACACTGTAAAAAATGAACAAAATTTGAATGAAGATTAAAACATCAATTGTACACGAAAGTAAGCATGCAAAACAGTCATTGGATTATGTATATATCTTGTGCAGTGCTTTGACCTTCCTCCTGCTTTTTTCTTATATTATATATCCAGGTGTTCATCGACAAGTGCTGTTCACAACCATTGCGTGGTTCATTGGCTATCATCTCACAAAATATGAGAATTACAAATATGCCTCATTGGACAGGGACATGAACGAGTACGTCCGACTGCATCCTGATGATTTTCAAGCGAAAGGTAACAGCACATGGAAATCTGATTTTACTTACTCAATACTTTCATTCCTGTAACTTTTTAATTTGTTCCTTCTCAAACCAGAGCGGAAGACATTTGCCGAAATCGTCGAGCCGTTTCATCCAATCCGTTGAGCAGATGTAGTTGTCACGAGGAACATGAAGACTACAGTTGAAAATCTGGTTTAACAGGCTTTTCTGTTATAAATACTCTTATATTGATGTATTAAGTTGTGTAATCAATGTCATTAAACTATTTAAAAGGACAATCTGATTTCTTTATTTGGGCTTTCATTTGTTTTCCAATGAAAATCCAGATTAGTTTATTTGAGGGACGGTCAACACAAAACTAAACCATTATTTCCCCACCTTAAAAAAAAAAAACAAGATTACAGTAGTTCACTTTTTAAAAAACTTTTGCTAATAATTTACTCACCCCCATGTCATCCATGATGTCCATGTCTTTCTTTCTTCAGTCGAAAAGAAATTAAGGTTTTTGATAAACACTCCAGGATTTTCTCCATATAATGGACTTCAATGGGAACCAAACGGTTTAAGGTCCAAAAGACAGTTTCAGTGCAAACTGAAAACTGTTCAAAGGACATTTGAGCTTATAAAACTTAAACTTTTGCTATTTATTTTTTAAATGAGCGATTGTTTCGCTTGATAAGACCCTTATTCATCGTCTGGAATCGTTTAAAGCCCTTTGAACAGTTTGCACTGAAACTGTCTTTTGGACCTTGAACCGTTTGGTGTCCAATAAAGTGCATTACATGGAGAAAAATCCTGGAATGTTTTCATCAAAAACCTTCATTTATTTTCGACTGAAGAAAGAAAGACGTGGATATTTTGGATGACATGGGGGTGAGTAAATTTATCAGGTTTATCAAAAGTTTTTTTTTTTTTTTAAAGTGAACTACTCCTTTAAGAACACTTCAAAATGTACAGTAATCTGTGAAATGACATGAGGGTGAGTAAATGATGGCAGAATTTTCATTTTTTGGTGCACTGTTCCTTTCACAGTCTGAATTAAGCGTGTGTAATCAGGAGACTGATTATGTAATTTTGCATGGCACAATGTCAAAAGGCATGTTGCATAAATCAGGAGTATGCATACATGAGGCCCTCAGAACCCCAGAAATGATCGTACAGATGATTGTGACGGGAAGGTCAATAGACCACGTGGTTGTTACACACATTGTGGTGGCAGAAAATGTCATTCTGCCACCAGGTAAGCTCTGCCCACAAAACACATTTGCAATCACTGTTTGCAAACACCCAAACGGTCTGACATTTTTTTTTGTGTGTGTTTTTTCATGTCGTACACAATATATTTATTTTCTAATCATTTATTAACTGATCTGCTTTTAAAGGGACGTGAGTTATCTAAGCAAATGTATACAATGACCATACATTAGAATCATAGTATTTGTTGTTCATTAGGTTGGACATTTTCAATCTACCATTTGGTTTAATAAAAATTACATTTATTTACCCAGAGCTTGACCAAAATAATTATTTGTAATAATAATTTCCATATCATGATTCAACAAAAATCAAGTTTGCTTTTCTAAACCTTACGATGACCCGACTGATTTCAGCTAGACTCTGCCACGGATATTGTAGCGATAGCTCGTCTCATGCAATCCCAGAAGTTTTGCAACAGATTACTCTTGTTTTATTGTGGAAGCTCATCAATTTTTTTTTTTATGTCATAAATTCACAGTTAAAAAACAGATTATGATTACAGGACTTTCTAGAAAGTGTGTACTTTAGAGTTAATACCATTAACCAAACCTAAAACTATATAAATTAAATAAAGCTACAATACTTTATAAATATTAGAAAGGGAAATTTAAACTAAATTAAATATTGAAATGTAGCCTTGGCGACTGAAATAGCGCTACTATTTTGATCTGGGGAAAAAATTAACAAAACCTAAAGTCTAGTATTTAAAAGGACACAATATGGGTTGTCCATATTTGACCCAAACAAACAACCCAGTCTTTTTAGTGTAATAATAATAAAAGTGGCAAAATCACATAAATTTACTAAAAATAAAAGCTAATAATAAAAACAATGATATGATATAAATGGTAGCACTTTAAGGTTCATTGGTTAACATTAATGCATTTACTGACATACACTAAATATGAGCAATACATTTGTTACAGTTTGTTAATGTATGTAAATTCCATCTTTGATTTTAATAATGCATTAGTAAATGTTGAAATTAATATTAGCTAAGATTAATAAATGCTTAAGAATAATTGTTAATTCTCAGTTACTAATACCTTATTGTAAAGTTACCATTATAAACAATACTTAAAAGCACAAATATACATGCAGTAATTTTGCAATATTGACATCAATTGTTTTTTATTGGCTTATATTTGTTGCATCTCTGAAGATTTCACTATGTACTGGTTATAATGACTGAAATGACACATGAAGTCATATACGACATACAAATGATGTGCAATTACGTTTCAATGATCTTGTTTATGTACTTTCCAAAATGAGTATATTCTGCAATCTCATATGAGGAAGCAGTTAAATTTTTTGATGCGAAAGGATACGAGATAATATTGCAAGCCAAAGGATGAAAAAAAAAATATTAGGATACACTTAAATAAAATTCTAAATCAAAATAATTTTTCAGATTTTTTTATTGCAGGTCACACAGATAGTGACGAGGACGTAAACAGTTTTTTCAGGAACGGTAACTTAATTGCTTCCACCTCAAGAGGGATTCTTCTTCCTCAAGATGTGCTGAATCCTAATGGGCGACCCCAATGATGTCCAAGTATTTCTCAGTCAAGTTCTGGGACTTGTTTGCGAGCGTGGCCATGACTGTGAACAGCCCCCGCAGATGGAAGTGGAAGAGCGCCTCGGGTTCGGCCTCCAGCAGCGGCTCCAGGCCTTTGTGCAGGGCGGCGTGACTCTTGGTCTTGGCGTCGTCGTGGGGGAAGAGCCCGCTCTCCACTGTGTTCTTGATGGCTTTCAGCATAAGGTAGGACTCGTACAGGTCCATGCTGTTGTCTGCAGCCTCGCAGTCCTCGTCGTACGGCACGTCTCTCAGGAGGCTGGGGAGTAGGACGGTCTGCTCCATGTTGTGCACCACTGCGCTGTAGCGCCTCAAGGCCAGCTGGAGGGAGTTTCGGCTTAGCTTAGTGTCGGCGGACTGCATGATGTCTCGTGGGTTTCAGGCTGAGGGAGTCTCTTGATAAGATGGTGAAGTGGGCCTGGATGCAGTGCAAGGTCTGGAGAAAGAGGCTGTTTTTATAGCCTGTTCCTAGGGGGCAGTTATGCAACATAGTGGCCTGATACAGCTAAAACGTTCATTTGAGCTAACACACCCCTCCCTAAAGTTTATTTCTTCACAGCATGATATTCTGGCTGCCATGCAGTTTATAGAAGGACACTGACCTCCAAATGGCATGGTTTACCTCAGACTCTCTCTAGGGGGGGAAAGTGCACTGTATTGAATGTGCACTTGTAGTGCAATCTCATAAGATTATTTTAATAAACTGTACTTGCAGACAGTAGTATTTTTTTTAATAAAAAGCCATTTTTGTGTACTTAAAGAAAGTATACTTGGTAACACTTTACAATAAGGTTCATTAGTTAATTTAATTTAATTAATTTATTTATATAGAGAAACAGGGACAGCGTACAATAAACATTAAACTCAAAGGGAAAGATGCATTGTACCGGGTTTTAGCTCAAGAGCTAATTTTCACCCGTAGTCCCTGGGCAGACTGATGTTAAGCATAAACATACATGAATAATAAGATTTACAATGACAAAAAATAAAAATGTACAAGGAAATGTTTACACCTTTCATTAGTTAACTACATTAGTTAATATGAACTGCACATATACCACATTTATTGGTCTTTATTAAATGTTCATTTCAACATTTACTAGTATTTTATTTAAATCTTGTTAACAGTTAATAGGCTACACCGTGAACTAACAGGAACAATGAACAGCTGTATTTTTATTACCTAACGTTAACAAAGATGAACAAATACAGTAACAAATGTATTACTCATTATTAGTTCATGTTAGTTAATAAATTAACTAATGTTAACTAATGAACCTTATTGTAAAGCGTTACCGTATACTTTCACGTGTCTCAACAGACAGCATTTATTAATCAGAGTTAATATTAATTTCAACATTTACTAAGGCATTATTCAAACCTAAAGATGTTAGATCAAAAGATCTGTTTACATGTTTAATATATATATATATATAGTAATTTAATTGACTAATGGTAACAATTAATAAATTGTCTTAAATTCAAAATTAACTCAATTTAAATGTCAATACATCATCAGTCCTACTTCCAAAACATATTTTTGTCTTCGGATTCACTATTGTAAGCATACTGCAAGTATTTATATTTATATTTTAGACCTGTTAGGATGGTTTTATGCAAAATTGCGTACGTCACTGGCCTGTCACATCCATTAATAGAGAAAAGTTGCTCCGACTATACTTTGACGTTTGCACGGTGCTCGAGTAGCATATTTTAGTTGTTAAAATGATCAAGAAAGGTTAACATGAAGCAGATAAATCACAATCCTCCAGGGAATCAAATCAAACAGAGGATATTCTGCTGGCGACAGAAAAGAAAATGCAACAGAACTCATAATAAAAGAAGAATCATATCGGCTTTTTAGAGATGGTGCGAAATGTATTTGAAATGTTGTAAAAGCGATGATGTGTGTTCTCATGAAAGTGGTAAAGGGCACCAATGCTGCTTTAAAAGTGTGTGATATATTAAAAGTAAAGTCTGGGGAATTTTACAACATTGAAAGGCTATAAAGGGAAATATGATTATATTTCTGAACAATTAAAGTGCAAAGACATTCAAGGTCAGATCTGTTTGGATTGGCTCTGATCTGCAACGGTGCATGACTGATATCTCAGTGCCGCTGTCATGCAACCAGACTACAACATCATTCAAGTTTGGAAAGCGACTGTTTGCACAATGTCTGTGATGAAATTAAATCATTTTTTGGAACATAATGAGATCTATTCAAACAGACTTTGGGCAAAAGGTCGTTTTTAGAGTTAACTTCACTCAAATGTCTAGCAAATGTCATTCCAAAAACCCAATATAACATATAATCTTTTCAAGATTACGCTGCTGCAAACATCAGACGCTTATATGGGCTTTAAAGTGAAAATGATTTTAGAAGTTAGTGTACAGTGCAAAGAGCTTTAGATGAAATATGAGGTGTTTATGAGCTATTTGTCATTTTCAAGCTTCAAATTATGCAAAAAAAGTGACTCTTCATGCCAACTGGGTTCTTAACAGTATTTTTAGGAAAACGTGAAGACATGCTACACTTTCATTATAGTTATTCATGTCAACTGGCATATTACTTTTCAAGGTGGCATTTGTGACTGATTAAAATAACATGTAATAAAGTCTTTATCTTCAATAGGCTATTGATCATGTTGTAGGGTAGGCCAAGGCAACTCTGGCCCTCGAGGCCCACTTTCCTCAGCTCAAACCCTGATCAAACTCATCTGTCTCGTTCTAGTAATCCTGATAACTTTGATTAGGTTGTGCAAGTGTGTTTGATTATGGTTGGAGTTAAATGTTGCATGAAAGTGGATCTCGAGGCCCATCCCTGCAGAAGGGTATTGCAATGTTCTTGTAGCTCAAACAGTAAATATCATAGCCGACTGTACATTCAGTTCTCAGGGAAGGCATGACCTGATGAAGTATAGCTTTAACACAATGTAAATAACTTACCTTTTTCTCCTAGACTGGATGCCAGCCGAACTTAGCCCCGCCCACAACATTTGAGGATCTGAGTATGACGACGTCAGGCTAGTTTCCTCCTAAAGCATGCGTGCAAAAAAAACTCAGTAGTACCTGGAGGACCACAGCCCTGCAGCGTTTAGTTTCATCCCTGCTTCACAACTCATACCTCCTTTCAAATAAGTCTGAAGGGCTTGATTACATGGATCAGGTGCATTTAATTAGGATTGAGGCTGCATCAGAAAGCTTAGCTGAATTGTTGCCCTATCAGAGCCTGTTCACATATCGCTTCTTTTGTGCGCTCAAATTTCATTGTTTTCCCAGCATTTTCTACACGATTTAGGCGCTATATGTGAATCCGGCCTTATAATGGAAGCGTCCGTGCTGCATTGATACAAAAACATCTCAACTTTTCGTTTTCTGCGCGTTTTTACGAAAAAAATAGAGAAGAAAACAAAATAGAGAGAGCTTTGGTGATAACCAAACAGATATTTAATACCGGTAACTGCAGTACTAATTTATTGCTAGAAATTATTAGCTACATCAAAAGTGGAAAATGTTGGTTAAAAATTGTGCTCAGACGCCATATTTATTTTTAGCTCAACTGGCTCGGAATGGCACAGGATTGCCACTTCTATGGAAGAAGTAGTGCATATCAAATGAAGGTTTATACAATAAATTTCAATATACAATTTATACATATTTATATGTACACTCAATTAGTTTTGTCCACTTTTCATTCCCCACTTTGTTGCTTGACTCTTGTGCTTTTCATGGACCAGAATATTTAGTTCTAGCGTTTTATTTACTTTAAAATAGGCCTAACCCCCAGTAATTGATTTATAAGGTAGTGTAAATGGGTACTTCATGATTTTAAATTGTAACTAAACCCCTGGTCAGAGCCTGACTCCACCCACTGGCAATATTTGAAAATGCTGAAAAAGTGGGCTGACCCCAGCGGAGATAGAGGGGACGAAATAGATCCTAAAACACACTATCCTGATCGTTTTCAATACTCACAATCCCAATCCCTGACTCCCTACAGTTGTTTTGACGACACAAGATGGTTTTTGTACTGCCAAGGGCGTAGCTCGCGTGGTGAGCTGAAACCTACGTCACGAAGTGCGGAACATCCAACGGGAAAATTCAACTGCAGTAGCCACCGTTCAACCTGAAGAGGGCAGCACTAAGACGTTTTTACACCACATATTGTAGAAATAAAACACTTTATAAACAAATGTCAAAAAAGTTACTCGAATCAATGACTGGTATTAATAAAGATCCATTCTTACAGATCATTAACTAAAAAAAGTTGGTTTAGTGTTTAGTTACTCTTTAAACCATGATCACAAGTAGGCCTATTAGGTATTCATTTATTTAGGTAATTTTTCTTTTTTTTCTCTCATTTAAAGCGACAGTGACGACAGGAATCAGTAGTCCAAATGTGCATTAGACTGCATTTATTTATATAAGGCAATGGGTACAAGTTAAAATTGCAACGTTGTCTATGTGATTCAGCACAGAGTCAGAATAAAGATTATAATCAATAGAAAAGCTGTACAATGAAATATAATACTTGCCCCTCAAAACATAGTGTCCCCAATATATATATATATATAGTATTTGGACACTTGTGGTAAGTCTTAAATCTTAACACGTTTGAATGTTTATTCCATTAGATAGGAAAATGTCAAACAAAGTGGTCTTGATTCCCAAGTTCATGACACTCACTCTCATTACACAACCAGAAAGTCCTAGTATGTTTAGTCTTCACTTTGAACAGTAAATCTATTGCTTTGTTAAAATATCTATTTGTGAACTGATTGCTTTAAAAGTGTGCTTGTGCTATTTAACATTGCAGTAATAATGAAGGTAAAAAACTTTGTCCCACTTGACTGCTTCAGATTCATTTTGAGTCTGAGAATGTGAACAGCTCCAAGCAGAACGCCATCTCTTAATTCGGTAATTATGACATGGCGTGAACGCAGAATAAGCTTATTTTTTAGGTTCAGGAGGCTGCTGCTGTTTGTTTGCAGCAAGTGACTGTGAATAGCCTCATATTCGCGCTGATGCCGTATGCAGGCGCAAGGAGGCATGCAAACACACAAGTTGGCAGGCAGGTAGGATATCCTATCATTGCATTCGAACCGAATGCAATGATTGGACGGACATTTTTTTGCTCCTGAAACTTCCACGGAAAATATATGTAATGTTTTTGAATACTTAGACCACTTCTATTATTGATTGCTATCAGAATGTGAACAGAGTTTTTAACAAAAAAAATGTTTATGAAAAACTCTGCCTACCCTAGATTTAAACCTCATCTCCTCTTGCGTCATTTCTTCCTGCGAGAATGACATTTTCAGACTTGTAAAGGTGATGCAATTAAAAGTAGAGGTGAAAGAGAGCTCTGCTAACTAGATATCTGAGGCACAGAGACAAAGTGTTTGAAAGACAGATGTTGACGTCGATGGTCGCTCATGTCCACCTCTGAGATGCTGCTAGCAGGTTTCACCCTCTACTGAGTCTGCTTCACGCTTTCCAGCCACAGAGTTGATCATCTTCAATTAGGAGGGGATCCTCTTATTGTCCAGTGCGTCATTCATTGGCAGTCACTCCTTCTTTTTCTGCCCATTGACTATGATCTCCAGGACATGTGTGAGGTCCATCATCTTGGTGAGCATCTCCATGATGTCAGGATGTTCTTTAGCTCCTGTGATGAACTCCTCCAATGTCAACTCACCTGCCAAAAGCACAGACATTCTATTTTAAGGGTGGCTTCTAATATTATTATTATTATATATAAAACGTAATAAATAAAAATATACACATATTTTATTATTTTAAAGGCCCGTTCACATCAAAGACATTTAATGATAATGATAAAAATGATGTCAGAGAAAAACAATATTGTTGGAAAAATTACTTTCAGACTTTTTTTTTCCAGCTGATGAACGATAAAAACATCGAAAGCCAATCAGAATTCATCCTGCTTTAAGGAGCTTGAGCATTTAAAGCAGGAGATGACAAAACTAAGGACACTAATAAAGTTATCTTTACAGTTATTTTTATTGGTGTGAATGGGCCTTAAAGATACTTAACATTATATTTTTAATGCAATTATTTTAAGCATTGTGGCATTTATTGTTATTTTAGTATCATTGAAATGCAATTATAGTTTTTTATTATGAATTTTTTTTGGTAGTTTTTGTTTTTTTATGTGTCTATAATTATTTTAGTACATCAAAAATGGTTCATTGGCAACTAGCTGAAACAAAATATTTTATTAAATTTCAGCTAAAGTTAATTTTATTTCAAGTAACACATTTTTTTATTATTTAGGTTTTAGTTAACTATATTTATCCTGATGGCATTACTTTTATGGAAAAGCCATAAAAGTAAAATCTCATTCTCAATAATGTGAAAAAAGATCTTCAAAAAATCAAATCCAAAATAAAAGTTTGTGTTTACATAATATATGTGTGTGTAGTGTGTATAATTATTTTATATATATATAAACACACACACATGCTTGTATATATTTGAGAAATATTTTCATGTATATACTGTATATAGATTTATATATCATTTATATTATATAAATATAAATATTTTATATATAAATAATATTTTTTCTTATGTGTGTGTATCTATTTATATACAAAATAATTATACACAATGCACCCACATATATTATGTAAACACAAACTTTTTTTTTTAATGCGATTAATCGCGATTAATCGTTTGACAGCCCTACTTATTACTAGTATTTGTTGTACTGTAGGCTAATTACATCACATTATGGAAATAAGAATTAGATTCATTATGGTAATGAAAACTGAGCAATTTGTTCTCTCTGTATATAGATTCTGTAACTAATATTCGCTTTAGTTCACAACTTCTTATCCAGTTTCTTGAAATAAATATTCGACATTAACCTTGACCCTTAACCTAAAGGCAGTAGTGGCGTAAGCGTTGGCCTAATGGTTTTAAATGTGGGCAGCTAATACGGATCAAAGCTTGCAGGTTCAATCCTAAACAGAAATGACTTGCAGAGGTCAAATCTGTGTAAATGTTTACCTTGAGCAAAACACAGACGCCACAGTGCACAACTGCATTCTCTAATCGAACTCACACCCGTACATGTGGATTCACATCATACAGTGCGAGGGAACCGCTCAGACATGTCTGCCGTGTGTTGTGTGGCTTCGCTCAGGGACGGAGAATTGATCTGTTTGACATCTGAAGGTTTTAGATTTAAATCTGTCAGTTAATGAAGATTTGATGGATTAACTTCGATCAACAGACTTTTCAGTTTTATGGACGACGCCATCTTTGATATCACCTTGTCTGATTACTGATTAGAGAATACCCGCTTGACTCCCATTGCCAGTATTCAAGATGCTACTGTAAGTTACTGTGTGAACAGGACATTTTGAGACTCACACCTGTAATTAAATACAGTAGTCAGAGGCTAGAGGTCCAGTTGCTCAATCTCTTCCACCTCAGATAGGGTATACTGGAAGAGATTTTGATGGAGAGCGGGAGAGTCTTCACTCTGATGAGGCGAGTGAAGAAGTAAGTTACTGCCGAGAATATAAGAAGTCCCTGGGCTGGAGGCCTCAATCTCTTCCATCTCAGATAGGGCTATTACTTTATTTTATTTTATTTTTACTCTTAACTGTTTTTATTTATATTGATTGCATTTACTGAATGAGCACTGTGCCACTCTTCGTCCGACTGTTACTGTTACTGTACATTTTATTTTCGACACTGTATTTTATTTTTATTATTATGATTTTTTTATTCTAAACTCTTTTAATTATTCTGACTTCTTTTGGTTATTTTAATTTCTTCCATGTAAAGCACTTTGAATTGCCACTGTGTATGAAATGTGCTATATAAATAAACTTGCCTTGCCTTGCCTTGCCTAGTCAAACCCCAAAACTGACCGTGTGAATGTAGCATGATCTGGCAGCTCTTACCTTCATTATTAACATCAATCCTCTCATAGATCAGTGTCACAATATCATCTGGAGGGATATCATAACTCCGGGTAATGTCTTGAATGGCCTGGAAAAGATGAATAAATACTGTATTAATATTTTGTGTTTTACAAAATTCACTGTCTTACTGACCCTGTCTAATTTCCCTCATCTATGAACCAACATCTGTCATGTGGCTTCAGAAGTTTTAAAGGGATATTCCACCCAAAATGAAACTTCTGTCATAATTCATTCACCCTCAAGTTTTTGCAAAACCTTCGTCTGATGAACACAAAGGAAGATATTTTGAAGAATGATTGAAACTTTGGCACCATTGACTTGCTTGCTTCCATTGTATCTTTTTTCTACTATGGAAGTCAATTGTGGCAAACAACTGTTTGGTTCCAATCGTTCTTCAAAGTATTTTCCTTTGTGTTCAGATTTGCAACAACTTGAGGGTGTGTAAATGATGACAGAATTTTCATTTTCGGGTGGACTATCCCTTTAAGGAGATTCATATAAACATTATGTGTCCAAAAATCATTGACTTGGAATCAGGGTTATTATTAACTAACATCAAATTAAAAACGAATGAACATATTAATGTAAACTATAATATTATATTAATGACTGTCCGGGAGTAAGTAGCCAGAATGTATATTTTGACTGTTTAAAATGTGTTCCTTATGGACAGGTGTAATAGGTTAGGAACTCTGAATTGAATATAAGGAAGTTCAGCCAATGGACATCATGGGCTCAGGTTAGGATTAAACATGACTTTTCCAAGTCTAATCTCTACAGCAGTCACTTTAAAAGTACACATGAACCAGGTCACCTCATGGAGGCTTCCACGTCAAGGTCCAGTCAACTTCTACTCGCTTTGTCTCCATTATCTCCCTGTTACACTCTAAAAATGCTGGGTTGTTTTAACCCAACTTTGGGTCAAATATGGACAAACCCAAATGTTGGGTTAAAAACAATTAAAAAATGCAACCCAATGGCTTGGTTTGTCCATATTTCACCCAAAGTTGGGTTAAAACAACACAGCAATTTTAGAGTGTACTGGACACTTTTGCTTGTGGAATAAATAAATCATGGCTAACTGTGTGTATAGTGTATTTTTACAATGGCATCAGTTACTGAAAACCATTTATTTTACGAGTGATCGCACCTTTAAAACAGAACTCCAGTGTGAACAATTGGTTATACACCAAAGAGTTGACTGACTACAGGAAAAAAAAAATGAATACTTTACTTTGAATATGGTCTCCATTTCATCTCTGTCAATCTTGCCGTTTCCATCCTGGTCAAAGAGTTTGAAGTACCACTTCAGTTTCTGGTTTATCTCTCCTTTCAGTAGCAGACTTACAGCTGCGATGTATTCTACAAAATCTATATAGCCATCCTGAGGAAAAAAAAGAATAAAAATCAGAAATATGAACATATATGTTATTTATTATATGCTATGATATAACCAAAAAAGCCTTTCAGACATAACATGGTTATGTTGTAAAACCGAGATCATGGAACAGACTGCAAGCCTCTCAGATCCGTTTTGAAACGTTTATCCTTACATACACTCTAAAAATGCTGGGTTGTTTTAACCCAACTTTGGGTCAAATATGGACAAACCCGAACTTTGGGTTAAAAATGTAATTAAAAATGTAACCCAATGGCTGAGTTTGTCCATACCTGACGCAAAAGTTGGGTTAAAACAACCCAGCAATTTTTTGAGTGTATGGTACCATTCAATAATTTTCATCATCATCAGCAAAAACAAGTCCACTAGATAGTGAGCACATGATAACCCTTTTCACATTTACGGGGTTCTCAGAAGCAGGAATCATCATAGTTGGGTAAACTTCTACAGCAGTGACTTCTCTATCATTTTTATCTATTTTTAAACATCTCTATCATTTTTATATTCCCATTTGCTCAAAAGAAAAATAGCATTTCCACAACTTTCCAAAAGAGGAGAAAAATTGGAGAAAATCTAGCATAATTTTGAGTAGACAACGCTTGACTTTCTACTGGTTCTCTCTTCAGACTGGGAATAATGCGATTTTATTGCAACACTATCAACCAAGCGTGCCGCTCAAGCTCTGAAAAGTGAAGCCAAAACGTCTCGATCGCCCCCGGTGGCCGGTCCAAGTATCGATCATAAACCCCGCCTCCTGTTATTCAACCGTGTTATTCAACCGTGTTATTCAATTTAACACATGTTATTCAACCGGATGTGAGACCAACTAAAAATTACACTTCACATATCGTTTTTCCAAAGATAGTTTCAGTTATTTACTGTAGTTTCTATCATGTTGATTTAATTTCAAGAGTTTGTTGTTAAAATAAGTTTATTTGATGCTTTCAAAACTGTGTTGTGACATCATGATTGACATGTTCTCTATGCGAAGTAGTCACTGAAGCACCAACAAACTGTTTTTCACAATGTTGACTATGTGGTTAGTAGTTGTATTTACCTTATTTTAACGAGGTATTGCAATCAGCGGGCGTCATTGGAGAGGAACGGAGCAGACAGAGGACACTTAAGAAAAGTGCGGGGCGTGTGCTTGCGATTGATCCAGCGAGAGTGAGGGCGGGGCCTTGATTTATCGCGGATTTACTTCTTGCTCACGACTGCGCATGTCTGGTCCCGAAATCGCAAGTGTGCACATGACTCAAGTCCGAATATGTCAGCGCCATATTGGGACATTGGCGGCTTCAGTTCTGTCTGATGGAAAAGAGCGAAGGGGCGTCGTCCATCTTTTTTTACAGTCTATGCTATCAACGCCTAATTGAATCTGCAGTGGTCAGGTGGTACATTAGAAGCACTAAGAAAATTCCTGGCTTACAAGTTGTAATTACTAGGTCTATGAACATGAATGACGTGATTGGTTTTTGAAAACTCGTAATTACGGTAATTACAACAAGGCGTGAACGCATCTTCAGCCTACTTTGAAAGGCTTGCGCACTCAACAGTGTGTGAGACCCAGCGAAACTGGAAAGTCAAGTATATCTGGGCCTTAAGTCATTACTACACGTACATTAATGAGTTTTCATTTTATTTCAGTCACCGTTGGCTTAGCAATTCGAAAACCTGAATACATAGCCTTTGTCGGTCAACACTTGCTCACTAAAGTCATCCTTGTCCAGAGTCTAAGCTATTTCTCTCCACAAGTTATAATCAATAAATATGTCTTCAAACTTTGTATGTTTAGGGTTAGGGTTCACTGTACCGTCTCGTTGGTTTCTTTCCTTCGACTGAGAAACAACGGACTGGACAAAACGATTGTACAAGCACACATTGTATACGCGGTAACGCTTCCTTTTACAGTACAGTACTTACAGTGTACTTACCTAGAAAGTACTGGCTAATATAATGTAAGTACATGGAACTGGGGTAGGTTCAGGGTTAGTACTAGTTATTACCCAGTAATTGTAGTTACTAAAGTAAGTACATGGGTAACTGGACTGTAAAAGGAAGCGTTACCGTATACGCCACGCAGTTAGAAAAATCTAACTACGCACATAGTAAGCTAATGACGAAATGTGCATTTGTGCACTGTACAAATACCTTTTGCATAAAAACCGAAGTATACTTTGTGTTTTTCTAGTTTTAAAGCGTTTTCCGAAAGGGAAAATGCTTTAATCACCTTACTGTGCTTAGATAAAACATAATATAAGCTGACTGAGATGATACAGAAAGACCATTTTCATGGCACGATCATTTTAATAGCGAAATATTCTATACCATTTACTGGTTCATTCTCAAAATCACTGTTCCACACGGTCGGATATGCAATTGACGTATTTCCACAATTGCGAGTCAATCTTGGGTCAGGTGCAAATTAATATTTATCTTTAATGCTGATGCAACTGTTCGGTAGATATCTATGGAAATATGCATCACATGACTAAATGTGTGTCACCGTTGTTTTTGCATACCTCAATTTTCACAGTCCACAATACAATGCGAAATCAACATTTTCAAATTGATCCACTTGGGATTCATGGATAAAAATGGCATCTCATTGTGGACAGACGGTCAAAAACGTAACGAAAAAGACATGTTTTCAGATTTATCTGCATTAAAGTGGACGTAACCTAGGGCAGATTAACTGGATTGTTAAAAGGATTCCTGTGGACTGTAGGCCAGTAATAGGATTATGTTCATTCATGTAGACATATGACTTTTGATGTTGTAATGTATTTTGTTTAGGTTTTCTCAGCAAATATTGATTAGTGCAATTCAATTTTGATTAGATTAATAAATACTATAATTAATTTGATTAGCATTATTATCGATTTAAAAACAAACATGCACAATACTGACCTCTAAGATCAACTGAATGGCCGATATGCATTATATACCTAAATGTTTCATTCTCACATTGATGTTAGTAAAAAAACAGCTTTCTCTCACCCCATCCATGTCGAAAGTGAAGAAGACCTGGTCCACAAAGCTGCTGGCTTCCTCGGTCATCCCCTGCATCTGCAGCATGGCCTTGAGCTCAAAGAGCGTGATGAGACCTGAAGGCGATTCCCTCATGAATTTGTTGTACCAGTGGTGCATGTCCTCAGCCAAGACTTCATCCATGCTGGATCCGTGGGCACCCATAATGCCTCAGAGGACCTCTTTCTGAATGAAATGTGGAAATGGTGTGTCAAATCCAGAAGTTCAGCAGTAGCAGCAGTCTATTCAGTGTGAGATGTGAGGAGTGTCGCAGCTCCAAGCCGGAATTGACTGTTGACGATGGCACAAATCCTAAAGCCCTGCAGACTAGGCAACTAAAAGGAGGGATAACCCTTTAATTGGATAACTGTTGAACTCTTCCAAGAACTAAAGGACATCTACGGGCGACAAAGAGAGAACTCTGAAAGTAGTGACGGACTTACCCCTCCCATTAGGGAGGATAGGTCATGATTTGTCGTGATCCTTGACTTCCTTGCCTTGTCTAGGGCTTAACATAGAATGATCAGTCACTTTCCATAAAGAGGTCAGCCAATGGGCTTTAATGTTCCTGGCCGCTCTGAGTAAACCCCGCCCAGCGTTACTGTATTCTCAAGCTTATGTAATTGGTCAAATGATTTCCAAGGATGGGGAGTTCTTGGGGAAACCCTTTAGAGAAGGCTATATTTTAGTTTACGAAAGTGTGGAACATAATTGGGGGCGGAGGATATTTTAAGAAGCTAAGATTGGGACTGTACCAAAATGTACTTTTTACTCTATATAAAACTGTTTATATACCAGTATTACTATTATTATTGTTCACATTTTGAGTTTGGACTTACTTTGTACTCCATTTGTGCTATGGACATGAATTATACTTTGTTGGGTAGAGTATTACTTTTCTGAATGAAGACTTTCTACAAATAACAAATACAAATAGAAATTCTACAAATAACTCAGAACACATGCAACTGCATAGAAACACCCTACACTCTAAGAAATGCTGGGTTGTTTGAACCCAAAGTTGGGTCAAATGTGGACAAACCCAACCGTTGGTTAAAGTCTTATATTAAATTGTTTAACCCAATAGTTGGGTTTGTCCATATTTGACCCAACTTTTGGTTTAAACAACCCAGCATTTTTAGAGTGTAGCAACCACCCAAAATACAAATAGCACAGTATTTCTCAGTAAGGATTTAGACTATCAGCCCTAAAGTCTAAATCATCCAGAGCTGTGAGGTTGTGAAACGAAGGTTTTTTGCTCCTGTTGAAGCTATAAGTTTGTATGAAATCAACCTTGTTTAAAAAACAACATGTTTTATTCACGATCTTATAAAAAAAATACACTACCCACAATCCTAAGTGTAGTAGGGTCTGCTGATTGGTCCAACTCGCTACCATAGAAACGCTTACCTTACTGGCGAATGGCTGGAGCTACACGCGGCTGTTGTAGTGTACTGGGTTGCTCTGCATCAGGATGTAGACAGCCATACCTCAGCTTTCACGCGTTCCCACTTGAGAGTTTTCTTCATTAACCACATCGTTATATGTGACTTCAGATGGTAGAGTCAGAATTTGGCGTAAACAGAATGAGAACATGGATCCATCATGCCTTGTTACCACTGTGCAGGCTGGTGGTGGTGGTGTAATGGTGTGGGGGATGTTTTCTTGGCACACTTTAGGCCCATTAGTGCCAATTGGGCATCGTTTAAATGCCACGGCCTACCTGAGGATTGTTTCTGAACATGTCCATCCCTTTATGGCCACCATGTACCCATCCTCTGATGGCCACTTCCAGCAGGATAATGCACCGTGTCACAAAGCTCGAATCACTGTACTAAAATGGCCCCCACAGTCACCAGATCTCAACCCAATAGAGCATCTTTGGGATGTGCTGGAATGGGAGTTTCCAATATGTGCCAACATTTCTAAAGAAAGCTTTCAGCACCTTGTTGAATCAATGCCACGTAGAATTAAGGCATTTCTGAAGGCGAAAGGGGGTCAAACACAGTATTAGTATGGTGTTCCTAATAATCCTTTAGGTGAGTGCATGATAAGCAAGTACACAAACTCTTGTGGTGGAAATGATGCAGAAAATACTGTACGTTTTTTTTTTTTTTTTTTTTAAATACCTCATGTCACTCATCTTTTCATTAAACTTAGTTAATGCTTTTTAAATTATTATTAAGTGGCTTTTTAACCATTTTTAGCCACAAACACACAGCATGTTTATTCAACACGGCAGACCCAAGCGTGACCCTGATCTCTGATCTCCATGAGTTTGTGCATGATCCACTCAGGAACAGAAAGTGTCACCACATTTAGATGCCGCGGATAAATCAATCAGACTATCAAAGATCAGTGTTCCCGTTATAGTAAATCTGGCTTAACCATTTCCAAAACAGATTACATTCATTCTGTTGAGATTCTTGGGACTTCTTATACGATATCCCCTGTAACGTGTACACTCATAAATGAAATCTAGTATCTTATATTGTGAAAATAATCATAAACATTCTGTAATATTAAATATATATATATATATATATATATATATATATATATATGAAGAGTTCAGATGCAAAAGCCTCTAAATGCCATTTGAAATTTTCTTCTTTAATGATGATTTTTATCAAACTTGTATATTTAAGTTCAGTAATTTCACTTAAATAACAATTAATAGGTAATTATCATTGTCATTTAAGTGAAATTACTGAACTTAAATATACAAGTTTGGTAAAAATCATCATTAAAGAGGAAAATTTCAAATGGCACTTAGAGGCTTTTGCATCTGAACTCTTCATATATATATATATATATATATATATATATATAATTTAGGATAATTTTTAAAAGTGTTAGTGGTTTGAGTAAAATTGATTAAAATGTGAGTTTTTTTTTTATTTTAATTTTAATCTTAGACCATACTAATGCAGTTAAACAGTTTTAGCCTGCATGGAAAAGTGTGACATACAACTTTGAGTTTTACATGTTTGGAAACAGGTAAACAGACTTAGTGATGAAAACATTTCTCCAATACAATCTACTCTGGATTTTCAATTAATAAAAACAGGATTAAATAGAGGTAAAGTTGATTAGTTGGACAGAGTTGGCCAAAGTATGTCACCCCTGCCAATCTGATTTGAGTAGTACTCTGCTGATTAATGAAGTAAATCTCTTTTTGCTGTTTACTGTTTATTGTTACTATTATACATCACAGATAGCACACGTACGTCTGCAAGAAGTCTGTTAAAGATCACTTCATCTGGAAAGCATCTGCTGTTTACTAACATCTGATAGATATGTCAGTTTAACATCCATTCTAAATCATTACATCTTAAAGACATCTTCTAAACGTCTATTTGACATCTGAAACGTCATAGACGTGTTGCAGATGAACAAACACTCAAAAAATACGTCTTCCAGATGTAAATATCACATCAAATATTTGATGTGATGTTTACATCTGGAAGACGTATTTTTAAGAGTTTATAGGACGTTTCCTGTCAGATGTCAAATAGACGTTTAGAAGATGTCTTTAAGATGTAATGATTTAGAATGGATGTTAAACTGCCATCTTCTAAACGTCTATTTGACATCTGACAGGAAACGTCCTATAGACGTATTGCAGGTGAGCAAACACTCTTAAAAATACGTCTTCTAAATGTAAATATCACATCAAATAGACTTGTGCTATCTGGGTCTGAAAATGACAATACATATTTGTCATTCCAGAGTCATTGGTTCTCATGTAACTGATTTTTCATTGTTGAAAGATACAACCATAGTATCTTTGCCTGATCTTTATGTAACTATAAGTTCTGCGATAACAAAATGAAATGAGCGACAGGTGCACTAACATCAGTTCTCGACAGAGAAGATTTAAATAGATTCGTTTAATTCATTTCTGTAGTATACTCACTCAAAGCCTCCACTCTCCGCCAGATAACACACGTGTTCAACTGTCCCTGGAACATCCAGACAAGATTAAACAAACATTTAATCATTAACAACAAGATAAACATTTACATGTTGAGGTTGCTGATGTGTTAACTCACTTTTTATGCATTTTTATCAACAGCATCAATGGACAAATAAAATAGATAACATATATCTTTAGTTACTAATTTGTTTATCACACTGTAAAAAAATATTGTTGGTTCAACTTAAAAAAGTAAGTAACCTGGTTGCCTCACAATTTTAAGTTGATTTAACTGGAAAAAGTGAGTTAATACAATGAAGGAGATTAATTTAATCATAAGAAACTCAAAATAATAAGTTATCTCAACTAAATAAATTATTTAAGTTGATTTGACAAAAGAAAAAATGTTGTGATAACAAATCTTGAAAATATTTTTTTTTACAGTGCATGTAAAGCAGTGTTGGTAATAGTAAATTCACCTGCACAATAGGACACATAAGTTATCACTTACTCGGGTGTATTTATAGACGATTTTCCTGGCAGATGTTAAAGCAGCACTATGTAACTTTTTCAACCTTTTAACCTTATAATATTTTTCCATAACCCTTGTGATGGTTCATTGATTGATCTGCCGGCATTGGCATCATTATATGAGAACTGAACTGAGCTGGACGATGACATCTCCATCATTTGTGTATTTAAAGTCAATTCATATAAAGCTATATGAACGTTAATATAATATAACGTTAATTTAAAACGTTAAAGCTATATTGGCTACTCAACCTTCCACCATATTGACCATAATTATTAATGAAGCAATGAGTTGTAATGTATAAAGACAAGTGTCTTTTAAAAACACGTTCCCTTTTTGAAAACGTAATCCATATTTAAATATGTAATATAATCATATCTTATTAACCTAACATGAAGCGCGTGTAGCTGACAGAGGTAAAATCCTGAATGACGTACATCTGTCCACTAGATGGCGCGCTTCTCAAACTTAATCAAATCGGTAAAGTTCGTGACGGCTGTTTCTCATCCTGGGGAAACGCTCAGTGCCATTCTCCTGAGGCACATTTAATAACATTGCCGAACAACGTCCTTCGGCCGGGCAAGTGAGCAACATTCACTTTCATGTCAAATATATTCAAAAATATTGTATGATTTAAATAAATAGCCTACTCAATACTCAAATTGATGCTTCAGATTTCTTTTCTCAGAATTGTGAGATATAGGTAGGCTACACTTAAGAGTTATTGTACATTTCTGTGGAAAAAAATCCTTAGACATAGAAATTGTGGCTTTATAGCATGCAATTCTGAGAGATAAATAAGTCAGTAGGCTATTGTGAGATTAAAAAAAAAAACCTTTTTATTTTTATTCAGTGTGGTGGAAACAAGCTTCCGTTGAAATGCCACACAATGAGGTGTTTTAATGTTAAATTGGGGAACAGCAAAAGAATTGAATCACTTAAACACTGTGTTGAACTCTAAAGACAAAAACAAAACGTCATTTGTCAGTGTGAAATGATGCCTTCAATTTAAGGGGGTTTATTAAACTTTGTGAAAACTGTCTCAATAAACCTCTCTCTGCAACCGAAAAGCATAGGCTCTATAGTGAGTGTGACATAAATAAAACTACTCTTTCAATGACAACATCTCTGTAGTAGTATTGTCCGGAGCATAAATCGAATATAGGCTGCTCCCAATAAGGTCTAATATCCCCGAGTGTAACACGCGCTTCGTGTGATGCACCACTAGATGTCGCTGTTGTATAACAGATATTTTGTTTGTGCGCGATGGCAGCCGTTTGAGGTTCCGGTTCGACGTTGATAGTTTTATATTGTTGTC